TCGTTCATGGAGTGGGGGGGATTTAGGTTTATAGCTGGTGATCTGTCTTTAGTTGTTAAAGTTTCCAGTGCCTAAGTAAAAGACACGGTGTCTGAGTTTGACAGATATATGATAATCAGTGAATTCATACGGGTAGAGAATCTGAGTCAAATCTATTTGCCATCTCAACTTGATTGTAGAGTGGTTTAAAACATCCACAAGGGGTTTCAAGATGATTAACAGAACAGGAAAGTACGGGGAAAACACTCATTTCCACCTCACAAAATTGTGTTTATTCCTCATGTTATGTGAATGTTGCCTCTCCAAATCTCTAAAACAGTAGACATTTCTTTCTTTGAATAATAATTTGTGTCTGATGTGATGTTTTTTTTCACAAAAAGATTCAATGGCCTGTGTTTAAAAGACGTGCCTCAGATTTAAGGTGAGCACAGAGAAACGTCTTTCTAGTGTCAAACTATGTCTCGGAGGAGTACTTCAAAATTGTGCAACTATGGAAATGGGCTGCAGTTTTTGTGGGCATGCAAAACCTTGTGAGGCATCTGAGGGGAAAAAAAAACCCTCTGTTGTTCTATTTTTGATATACAGTCTGTTACTGCAGATCCATAAAGAAAACACCTGTCGATTTACTGACACTTTGTCTCTTTTCTCCCTCCTCTCCTCTCTTTAAGGTCGATGACTCAGCAGCCTCAGGAGTGTCACCTCTACCAACTCTTCCCGCCTACCCTGCCTCCCTCTCCCTCTTCGCCCTCGCCTCTCTCCCCAGTTGACTCCCCCATCCCCCTAACCTCGCCCAGTCGGATGAGAGTCGCCAGCGTCCAGGCGCTGCTGGAATCCTCCTTCCTCCACGCCGGCCTCAAGTTTGTCGAGGTATCAGAAACAAGTTCATGTCAGGGTCGTTTTGGAGAAAAACTCAGCATGTTGTTAAAAGAAATCACTCTACTGTAGCGATCAGATCACGTGTATTGATCCCCCCCACCAGGCTCCCTCCTGCCTCGTACTGCTCATGCCCAGGTTTGGAAAGGACTTCAAAATGTTTGACGCCATCTTGCCCTCTCTCAGCCTGGACATCACAGACCTGCTGGACGACAGTAAGGACAATCTGCATTTTAGCTTGTTTCTGGTTTGGTCAAGATGTTATATAGTTACTTCAGATTTATCAAAGCACACATAAGAGTTTATTGTGTACTGTACTAAATGTGTAAAGTGTAGTTTTTGTCTCTCTTCGTCTTTCCAGCTCTGAGACAGTGCAGCATCTGTCAGACTGTAGCTGAGTGGGAGTGTCTGCAGTGTTATGAAGACCCGGACATCACTCCCGGTCGTCTCAAACAGTACTGCCAGACCTGCAACACACAGGTAGTCATTTCTTACTTTGGACCCTAGACCGAGTTGTAGCCTCGACAGACTAAAACGAGTCTTCGCCAGTCTTAGTCATCGGTCCTACTTTTGTTTTGGTGCATTGAAAAGTTTCCAAACTTCTAAACATCCGATCCGTTTATGATTAGAAATGTTTGTTAAGGTATGTGGATGCGACTGACCTTTTCTGAGTTTTTATAATGATCATATTTTTATATTAACAATGGATCCAGGAATATAAAAGGTGTTGCTCGTACTGATGAACCCACAGAGAATTATCACCGGACTCAGTTCCCTTCGTCTCTGCAGAGCAGTTTGGTGTCTTTCAGCTCATTGTTTTGGTGTTCTGGTGCACAACTCTACTGTTTTGGTTCACTCTCATTAACTTTGTGTCCAGACGACAACTGGAAGATCAGAAAAAGCTCTGATATAAACTCACTGCACTCACCTGCTCAGCACCAAACAGCAGACAGACCCAGTAGCAACTCGCTGGTGAAAATAGTGAAGCATTTAGCAGCTGAAGAGGCAGGTGTTTCCCTCAGGACTTGGTGGAGGCCAAAACAGAGCTCTTCATCAGATGGCCCACACAACACACACAACTTTAAATCAGTCTGAATGTTGCTGTTATTTGGCACACGTTTGCCATATTAACTTTATTTTAACATGTCGCTGTCTCCAAGTGGCTAAAAACTGATTGCAGGTAGGGCTGTGCGATATGACGACATATTTTGTTTGACGATAGAAGAACATCTATTCTTTATAATGATGCTATATCGTTTATTTCGTTGTGTCACAAATTCAACACGAGGGGACAGACTTCTGTTGAATATCCTCCTTAAAACTACCATCCAACTTGATATTAACTTCACCGCTGTACGATATTGGCATTCAGAATAAACAAACATGGGGGAGACACTAATACAGCAGTTCAAGCAATGGTCAGTTAACGTTAAATGTCTTGCCCACGGACATTCAGCTTACTTCCTAGTTCACCATGATGTGCTGTTGTTGCCGCCTTTATATTATAATCATATTTCATTGAATTTACAAAGAATGTTCTGTATCGGTGGATATGTGTCGTTATCGGGATAAGAGATTTTAGTCATATTGCAAAGCCCTGACTGCAGGTTTAAATGATTGATGATGATTAATAATGATGGAGAGGTTTAGACCAAATGTAAAGCACTCTGAGCTTCATTGTCTCGTACATATTGACTCTGTCTTTTCTGTCGATCATCAGGTCCACAGTCACAGGAAGCGGGAGTCCCACGTCCCTGTGAAGGTTGCCGTCCCCGGGGGGGTGTTGACCGGTCCTCTTCACTGCACCCGCCAGCGAATGTCTCTCTTTGCAGTGACATGCATCGAGACCAGCCATTACGTGAGCTTCGTCAAGCACGGACCCCTCCCTGCCAACTGGCTGTTTTTTGACAGCATGGCAGACCGGGAAGGTGAGAGATCCTCACTTGGTTCTGGTAACAAGGATTTCAGTTTCAGAGTCAAAAAATGAAACACGGCTATTAAAGCGCTCCCATATCTCTCTGTGCTCTCACCCAGGCGGCGAGAACGGCTTCAACATCCCCCAGGTGAAGGCATGTCCCGAGGTGGGCCGCTACCTCAGCTTGTCAGAGCAGGAGCTGAGCAGAGTTGACCCCGCCTCCTTACGAGAGTCCACCCGCCGCCTGCTCTGCGACTCCTACATGTGTCTGTACCACAGCCCTGAGCTCAGCCTGTACAAGTGAACAAGGCGCTGTGCAACGGACACAAACATGTTCTCCTCAGGGTCTTAGGCTTATCTGTCAGAAGAAAACCATACACGTCCGAAATATGACTTTTTTTGAGTAACCGTAATGAATTTCTGCCCTGTTTACACTTCACAGTAAAATGCATCTTGGGTGATTCATCATGTGTAACCATTACGTTCAAGTCACAGAGCTAAGCATCCTGTTTTCCTATTAATAAATAAATACCTGACTCTAGTTCATAATCCAAGCAAAGAGATATGTTACCTAATAAGTAACAAAAATGCAGTACAGATGTTAAACGTGTTTTGAGGTCATTTGGAAACTGAGCCAAATAAAATATTAGTTCTAATTATGTGTTAAAGTTAAAAAATAAATATATAAATAATATTCAGTATCAGTTCAGCTCTAATTGTAATTGATTGCTGATCAGTTTGAAAGACCACCTGGACAATGTGCGTTTAAGTTTGAAACCATTTAGACAAGTTGTGCCGTTTTCAAAGGACTGAACTGGACCTCAGAGCTACATGTGATCTCTTCACACAAAATAAAAATGTGACAATCAAGAAACATTCACATGAGAACAACAGTATGATGCACAGCATCTCATGGGGCTATCGAACAAATGACGGGAAATGTGAGAAAATGTATTTGCTGGGTGGCAGTAAAGGTCTTGACACCTGAGTTTTCCTGTGCCTTTAATAAAGCTAACACTCAGAACCACTGTGCCTGTAACGTGTAACACGTACACTTTCCAATTCAATTTGCACTGCTTCATTTACACGTCAGTATGTGTAAATATGATATCATTGCCTTTAAACTGACTGTAAACACTGCACACAGATGTTTAAACTTTTGTATCACTTACAGGTTGTTTAATATATTACAGCTGCACACGATGGGGACCATGTCCTTGCTAATAAATGCTCTGATACTCTTTCAGTTTGTTTATACTTGTCTCACTTTTTTTTATTGAAATCTATCCACAAACATGCACAGATTATACAGCAGCTGCAGACAGTAAGTTTTCCTGGTACCTGCAGCCATAGCATGACATTTGTGAGGAGGGAAATGATGTATGTTAATTGATGATCTACAGTGATGTGAAAAAGAATTTTCCTCTGGGGGACAATAAAGTCGAATTAATACCTTAATATAAAATAATATAAAAACAAAAGTAACAGTAAGTGAATATATTTCATTAGTCTTTAAGAATATCTAAATATTTTTAAGGTTACATTAGGAGAAAGTTTGTTTTGTGTATGAAATATACCCATTTAATTATGTTATTGAGGTAGTTCTTTTCCCCCCAATAATCTTCATTTAAACAGATGTAGGAAGTTACTACAGCTTTTGTTTGTAAATTCATCTATAAATATATTAATTGACAAATGGTAGATAATCCGCTCTGAAATGTTTTCCTTCCAAATTTTCATGTATGCATATAAAATGTGGTCAAAATAAATGAATTAAATAGATGTGAGAGCAGGAGTTCCTGTCCAGTGAATCTAAAAAACATGTTTTACAAAGTAGAGTAGAAATGATGAACAATAAATCTTACGATGTATCCACAGGTGAGGCCGAAAAGGCTGAAACAAATGAGCTTCCGTACAACTTTTCTCAGGTTTCTATAAATATTTAAGTGGTTGGATAAAATCTATGAAGCATTTTAAAGGATATCTGTGGCTTTGCTGGTCAGAACAAAGGGTCGTAATCTATATATTTCCCATAAAACTGGACAAATACGATAAGGCAGGAGGTGTAATTGTAGTGTCTTGCAGAAACAGTTGATTGATAGCATTAATTTTAGTGTTTTTTTGTCTTTTTGTCATTATTCTTTTATTAATTTTAAGGGGAGTCGCTAGAGGGCGGCCGTGACGCAATATTTGCGTCTGCAGCGTAACTGCGTCATCATTACGAGCCCCGGAAACAACTCGACGAGGGGTCGATTTTTATTCCTCGGCGCAGCAAGCTACTATTCGCAATTTCGTCAAAAATAACGTTAAATAAACCCGCTAGCTGTCGTTTGGATGTTCCTATAAGGTACGGTAAGTGTTTAAATATCGGCATGTTACGTTACGTCTGAGCTGCTTAACTTAACAACGGCGACGTGAAGTGAGGGCAACGTTAACGTTAACATCCTGCTTTTTTAATTATCAGCTTTTCTGTTTGATTTGTCGTGCTGGCACTGATTTTACTTGTATTTTACTTGTGCAGGAGAAACCGTGCGAAGGTGCTTGCTGCTGGAATCACAGCGACGTTGTCATTAATCAATAACCTTGTAACAGCCCTCCCTCGGGCATTTAACGGGAGAAAGATTGGCACGAACCGTTACAGATGATTGTTAAATAAGGGAAACTGAGGCTTTCTTATTGGCCAAGTTTTCCTTTTTCTCCCTGTAAACATGACAAAAGAGGAGGGGAGTCTAAATCCTGTCTGCATGTGTGCTGACTGACTCAGCAGGGATGATATTAAATGAGCAAAGTCGATCTGCAGGAGAAAATATATCTGAAACAAGCAACACAGAAAGCCTGAGAGCTGCACTGCATTATATTCTGTTAGAGGTGTAGATTTTAAATTGTCATCTGCCATCTGAATTTTGGGTTCCCTTTACTTAAAAAAATACATTCCCACCATAAATTGAAGCAGGAAAATTCACCAGGATGCAGGAAATTAACTGTTTAATGCTCAAAATCTTATGGGGGAGGACCCGCTCATATAGCTCAGCATTGAAGATCTCTTTAAAGCACTGTTAACAGATCTTCTCGTTCTCATAAACTCACTACTGTGTATCGATACGTCTCGTGAGTAAAGTGTCTCTTCACACCCCTGATCTGAGCCCCTATGTCCCCACCACCTTTCAACACAAACTGACGACCAAGCACTCAGGTTTTGGTCCTGTTGTACTTTGATGGTTTGTTGGTTGTTTACACCCAGAACCCTCTACGTGGATGCTGGTAGAGAGCTGAACAAAAAGCAAAGACTCATCGCATGTCTGTTTCTTTTGTTGTTGTTGTTGTTTTTTATCTCTGTAGGTACTTTTCTGTCTCTTGAGGTCCAGCAGAGCAGCAAGTAGCCATGACGTCTCCAGCGGGACAAGGAGGAGGAGCTCTGTCGACGAGAGGAGGCAGCGGGGCCAGGAGGATGAAGTGGGCTCTGGAGCTGAGCTTGGGCAACACCAGGTAATTCCAAGTAAAAATTCAGATAGTTACACAAACCCTCACATAATACTACCCAATTTGTCAACCTGGAAATCTACAAAACCACTTAGAGCTGTAGGAAACTCGTGCCCTCCCTGTTGCCTGGCGGCCTAAGGGCATACGTCCAATCATAACGTCCTCATGTTGATAAAGGTGACCCACAGCTGGATACTTCAAACTTATGGCTGCACGATATGGTAAAAAAATCATCATCATATTGCGATTATTTTGACACTTGCAGCCCTAATATGAAGCTGAACAACAGCAAGTTCAGACAGAGTTTTATGGTTCGAGCCTCTTCACCACTTCAAAGTGCACGAACGTGTGACTTAAATTGCTTTTCATGACTTTGACTCTGATCATTAACTAACTGGCGGTGACAACAGCTCTCAGTCACAGCAAAGCTCTTCTCTGTAATTTTAAAAGACAGAGCAAAATGAAAGACTCACAGTTGGTCATGCGGAATAAAAGCTGATATTTTTGTGTTTTCTTTGTGCTGCAGGAGTCGCGGTGACCGGCAGGGCGGTCAGGGAGACGTCGTTTACCCCATCGGGTACTCTGAGAAGCCCGTTCCCGACACCAGCATCCAGGAGACAGACAAGAACCTGGTGGAGAAGGTAAGCAGGGAGGCCCTCCCTTTTCAGTGGACCACCATGGGACCTGATTTCAGCAAGAAAATGTACAGTAGGCGAGAGACAACTAATTTTTTGATCCCATTTGATTTGTGCCCTGAATGACACTGACGATGTTTGTCAATTTAAAATATACATTTGAAATATAAGACTGTGAAAACACATAATTATAAAGACCACAAACCCAAAGGTCAAGGATGTGACGTCATAACTTTTAACATTACTGAAGCTATCGTCAAACAACGTGTGTAGATGATGTGATGAAAGGGCCGAGAGTCGTTTGATTAAACACATTATGCGTGGAATATATAAGTTACTTCGCTAGTTGCAAGCAAGCAATAAATATTAGTTAGCATTAACGCGTTAACATGTTGGTGATGTATATTGTGCGAGACGAGAGATGCAAATGTAATGGAACTAAATGTTACTTTGCTGTTTTAGCTGCAACTTTATTGACGGACAAACTTATATTTTAAACTTATAAACAAAGTGTGTAATTCAGGGCATAATTCAAACCGGATCAAAAAATGTGTTGTCTCTCGCCTACCGTACATAGTTTTCCGAAATAAGGTCTCATGGGGCAGAAGCAAGGGACTTAAGCTCTACATTGAGATTGTTAAAAATATATCTGTCACCGGTGAGGGTTAGTGGTTATTCAGGGTTTCTTATGTTTCATGAACACATCCTACTAATTTCTTAAATCGTACTATATTTAGGTTAACTTCCCCACAAACAAAACATTAGTTCAGTTCTTTCAAACATTTCATTGTTAGTTTTCATAGAAAATACCACAAATGTTTACACAATTACAGTTATTACATGATATAGGTAGTTAGGTTTGTCACATTATAAGAAGTTATAGAGTGAAGTTGAGTTTTGTAACTCCCTTCTGCTACATAGCAGACAATATACATTAATACAGAATCAATTATGAAAAATGGTAAACAGAAATAAATACCAGGAATTACGACCATTTCTGGTGTTTTTACTGTGATCCTCCCAAAACAAGTGGTTTACAATAATCACCCATACAGGAGTGAAACACGTTGGAGCAGAAATAAAGACAATAATGAAGTATATGCACCTCTGTCTCTTTCCTCCTTTGTCGTTCAGCGCTGCTGGGACGTGGCTCTCGGGCCCCTAAAACAGATCCCCATGAACCTGTTCATCATGTACATGTCAGGCAACACCATCTCCATCTTCCCCATCATGATGGTCTGCATGATGGCCTGGAGGCCCATACAGGCGCTCATGTCCATGTCTGCCAGTGAGTACGCAGCATCTTAAACTGGACACCTACTCCTGTTAAAACTGTGTGGAAATCCTTATTTCTTTTCCTTGTCTGGATCAGAGACCGTTCTCAAATCAGCTCACATCAAGCTAACGTCTTTGTCAAGGTTTTCTGGGCTTTTTCATTCATTCCTTTGTCCTCTTGTTTCTCAGCCTTCAAGCTGTTGGAGAGCTCCAGTCAGCAGTGGCTTCAGGGCCTCGTCTACCTGGTCGGTAACCTCCTGGGCTCGGCGTTAGCCATCTACAAGTGTCAGTCGATGGGGCTGCTCCCAACACACTCGTCCGATTGGCTGGCTTTCATAGAACCGCCTCAGGTAAACGTAGAAGATTGTAGTTTTTACTGAACGGCACTAAATAGAAAGTTACATCTATAACGTGAGACAGGCGCATCAGAGGGCGACAAGCTGGTCAATAAATTTGCAAAGAAACACCTGCACACTGTCTAACTTGCAAAAATACATTTATAAGCTGGCAAAGTATCGGTACTAGACCTTTGTCAGGAAAATGGTGTCGCATACTGAGAAGCCATCTTCCATATGAAAGGCAACATTACAAAACATTAATTCACATTTCCATTAGTATAGATAGGGCTTAAATACAACACTCTATAATAGCATGAATATATTATCCCAGTGATGTAGATTTCTGTATAATGAATGCCAGCCAAAAAATAAAAACAAAATCCATTCATAAATAGATGTTCTCAAATCTTGCTGGTACCTTAAACATCAATAACTAATAGTGGAAGTTTCGTAATAAACTCACAAGATTCAATCATTTCATATTTCATTCATTTATGTGTTAAATAACAATAGAATTTATAGAAAAATTCAACACCATAAATATTACCCACAAACCACCGAATTATTATACAAGTACAAAAAACCTTCAGGGCCTATGAGAAAGTGCGTTGGCGGTCTCCTTTGCTACCAGTTAATCTTTTATTTTTGAGTATTACAGACTTTTTCTGTACGTCTCATTTTACTGCTGGTTTTGGGGCTCTGACTCATCTCTGGTCTCTGATTCTCAGAAGTGCTGACAAAGTCTCATGTGTTGTTCACTCACTTTTAAGCCAGTAGATGGCAGAACACACCTATTTTATCATTAAAATTGTAATTTCAAGTCAAGGCAAACTGGTTTATTTTTAACAGTGTTAAATCTAAAGAAGCACTTTAACAGTGGTGTTCTTATACTTGATGTGTGTGGTAACTGATTTATAGCAAAGTACATGTCAGATTACTTTGTAACATAGACGAGGGAGAGCAAATGTTTGATTTTTTACCATTCTTTAAAAGTCGTGACAGATATACAGAAGCTGAGCACAATTGTAATCAGACTCCACATGCCTGTAGTACAGCTGTACTTTTGAACGTTTTGGTGGAATGTCGGCACGCTGGACTGCCAACTCTGTCAAACACACTGCGCTCGACTTCACCACAGACTGGTTGCAGCAGCTACAATACATACAATCATACATTGCAATGAATTGAAAAACACTTGCAGTGATTCGCTGCAAGTAAAACCAAACAAATAGTAATTTTATTTCTCCACATCTGGTTACAAAAAGGATTGAATGCAGGAATCGTTTGAGTGGAAAAAGGTTCGATTCTACTTGCTACTGGGCTATTTATACCTTTTTAGGGTACCGATAGCCAGCCCTAGTGACACTGTTTCAAAACATATCTTTGGCATTTCTATTCTTTAATTTCTTGTCATTTATAGGCTGACATATATAAGCCAACACAGATCTATCTGGTCACAGCCGGGCTCAAAGAGAAGAGGAAAAACACTCGACTTTTAGCTAAAGATTTATTTAACAAAATGGAAATTAACCAATCGAGATATAAAAGTATGTAAATCAGTAACAACAGTAGTGTGCTGGGTGTGAGCATGTGTGTTCAGTGAAGTGTAGAGAACAAAGAAAATAAACACAAAGAACCTAGAAAGTAGTTCTTTCCAGTTTAAAACCGAAAGCCAGTTTCACCAAACACAGACCTAATTGACCCCTTTTTGTTTTTGTTTCTTCTCAACAGAGGATGGAGATCATGGGTGGAGGGATGGTGTTGTGAAGAGGAGGTGCACATACCAGATTGAAATATTTACAGAGGTTACATACTGTACATTCTCCACCTGTCTACGCAGCCTGGCTACCTGTTAAAAGCTCTCTAGCTCTTGTCCACGACACATTCAACCTCTACAACGGCAGGTACAACAGGCACGACGTTTCTTAAATCAGCAGCGGGGTGTGCGGACGGGCCTCGTCCGCCACACACCCAAACACACATTTTGTTTGCCTTCTTTGACAGAAACATTAATGTTGCTTTACTTCAGCCTGCTGCTCTGCTTCATGATTCTTTTGATAAAGATTTAATAGCCAGCAGATCATCATGTTGACTACTGTTGAACCACTGTATTTTTCTTTTTAACACAACAAGGTTATTTAAGAGGTTATTTTACAGAATACAGAATTATAGCAAGCTTTGGGAGGAGGAGACGTTATTAAAAGAGAACTTTATATATCTAAAACTCAAAAAATACAGGTATCGGTCAGTAAAGGGTTTGTCAGGGAAGGAGTCTTATTAGATTGTATTACAGTAGAATTTTCTTCTTTTTTCCATTATTTCATTCGTTTTTTTTGTCAACATGATTTCAGCACGCTAGCCAGCAACTTTTACTAACCTGTCTAATTTATAGGTCTGTTTAATTTATATTAGATTTGCTCTATAAAAATGTTGTAAATGAAATAAATTCTTATTGGCTGAATTTAAAGTGTTTTCAACTGTGTCAATAAACGTGTTGGATGGAAAAAAAGATTTAATCTTGCTCTGGGAATCTTGAATTCTGATTGCTTCCCCGACTTGCATCGACAAAGCGGATAGCACTGTCCACAACAGACTCTTTAAACATCCTCAGCCTCCTCAGAAGACAAGGCGGCTCTTGCCCTTCCTGTAGAGGGCTTGAGTGTTGTCGGCCCAGTCCAGTTTATTGTCATTGTGCACTCCCAGGTATTTGTAATGCTTCTGAAGCTGGCAGGACACTGTGTGGTGGTTGAAGTCTGTGGTGTAGATGGTGAAGAGAAAGAGAGACAGGACAGTCCCCTGCGGGGCCCTGGTGTTACTGATCACGCTGTCCGACACAGAGTGTTGCAGGTGTACGTGCTGTGGTCACGTGTGGGGCATCCACCTGCATCGCTGTCAACTTCTCACCCAGCAGGGCCGGACGGATGGTGTTCAAAGCACTGGAGAAGTCAAAAAAACATGACCCTCACCGGCTTGTCCAGGTGGGCGTAGATGTGGTTGAGCAGAAAGATGATGGCGTCCTGACTGGGAGTTGAGGATCCTAGGGAGGAACTATGATGTGCAATGTAGGTACAGTGCAGTTTATTAGAAATAAGCTCAAGCCATTTTCTAATTTAATTTTTAGAGATTCCCCACAGGCCATTTAAAATCATGCAGTGGGCTGCAGTTGGCCCGCGGGGCGTAGTTTGGACACACCTGGTATAGAGTCAATCATGAAAAAACATGAATTTGTTTACTTAAGATAATAAGATATTTCAGTCACAACCACGAGAAAACCAGGTTTGATATCTCAAGCTAACAATGATAAACAATTCAAGTATGATTATGCAACATTATGAAATGAGACATTAGAACTTCACAAATCTAGCTATAGGCCTACTGTTTCTAGCAAATCTTACATCTCTGGTTACATTTATTCATTTAGCTTTTATTCAGAGCGACTTACAATTGCTATTTATGTCAGAAGTTGCACACCTCTGGAGCAACTAGGGGCTAAGTGTCTTGCTCAGGGACACATTGGTGAGTCACAGTGGGGAGTTGAACCCAGGTCATGGGTCTTATCCACTGTACCATCACCACCCACCCGGGTGTTTATTGCAAATAAATGTACAAATAAACAATAGCCTGTGTATAGGAGTTTTACATCAGTGTGAGGATGTACCTTTTTTATTTTTTATTATTATTATTTTACTGGCATAGCAAAAGTAGACTACCTGCCCATTGTCCTTATTTGAATTTATTTTAGTGTAACTCTAAAGTTACTGAAGGGGCACTAAGGTGTTTCTTGAGAAAATAAGATACTTCGGCTAGTACATGACCTGGAGATCATAAAAAAATAAATTATGAGCAACCACAGCTACTTTGTTACAATATTGTTACTTAATTACTGCTAACTAAAAGTGTGACAACTTGGCAACCTATGAGTTGAAGGCCTATACATTATGTAAAACGTTCTGTTTAGTTTAACCAGAAATAAAATTTAAAAAAACTATTTAAACCTCTCAACCTTGTACTTTTCCTTCTTTCTGTAAATTGTGCTATTTAATGTTATCCTTGACAGGGTGGGTGTATTTTTATTCCACAGAAGGAGTTTGTGTTAGTATCACCAGCAACACCCTGGAGGGAGAACAAAAGCAGGTTAGGTGGGGCAAAAACTTTAGAGGCAGAAAGCTTTTGTTATGGATGATGGAAGTGTAAGAGGAGGGCATTAACAGTTTAATTGGCAAACAAGTAATTTAATTTGGACAGAAATTGTTTTCTTTTTTTCTGTTTTTTTTTCTCTTAAATCCACACAAGTTACCATAATATTTAATATCCACCTGCTTTCAGTGATGTAGCCTATGTAGATGTCAAATATGCAGAAAAAACCTACAGAAAACGTTTGACGCCCACTTTAACTGCTCTTGTTAAAGTTAATGTCAGTTGAGGACGGTTTACAGGGCTCAACTTTAAGAGAAGCAAACTCATGAGATTACGTTTTGGGGGGTTTTCTCTTGCATTTATTTACCCATTGTGCCTACACCAGAAGTGATTGGGATTGAGTGCAATACTGTGATATTTCTTGACAAATGTTTGTATTATATAAAATATATTTTTATTCATGTTGTAGCCTAAGTGCCTGTGCAAAAAATAGCTTCAGGAGGATTTAAATGTAGGCTATACAAAGGAAAACAAGCCAATAAGTCAACACAATGAAAATAAAAATTATAATTACGAGAATAAAGTCAACATGATGAGAATTTAGTTGAAGTACCATTTTGAGAATAAAGTTGAAATTATGAGAATAAAGTTGAAATGGTAGGCTACTTCAACTTTGCTATCATCATTTGGACATTTCAACTTTATTGTCAAAATGCAGAAAAAACTCTTCATCCTCAAACTTCCTTCTTCTTTCTTTCTGAGTTAGCTAACAGCTGGTAGGCATATAATTCAGATTTTTCTTAGAATTTTAACTCAGATTTCAGAATTACTAGGGGTATTTTTATTTGTATGATTCAACATGACATCGATTTTTTCGTTTTCTATTCCTAGCAGTAGCGGGCTTCCATACATCTCCCCCAAAAAAGTCTAGGGACACACCGTAGTTCAGTTTCAGGGACCGGTTCGACTCGCCTGACCCAACCCTGAGCCGTGGTGGTAGGCCTGGCTGTCAGAGAGAAGGGGCGGGACAGGTGAGGAGAAAGCATAGAAGAAAGAAAGAGAGAGTGGTAGGTGGGTTGGATTTCTTTAGCGTGTGTTTCGCCATGTGTTGGTTGGAGATCAGAGAAGTTTGTTTTTAGCCAGGTTGTTGTTGTTGTTGTTGTCGTTGTCGTTGTTGTCGTCGTCGACGTCGTCTCTTGTGTGTTTGTCCCCAGCCGTTGGTTTTATCTTTTAGCGAACGGTCTATTTTTAATCGGACTGCGCAAAACACTTGTAACGTTTGTTCGACAAATTGGGAAACCGTCAACACAAAAACAAGCCTAACGTTATTTTACCAACATCTTGTTTGACTTGTTTTTCTTTTCTTCAACCGATAAGGGAGTGGATATAAAACATTTTTTATTCAAGTTTGTTATTTATTTTTTGTTTAACTGTCAAGTTTGCCTCGCCATGGAGAGCTACGACGGTTACTCAGCAACGCACGAGCATCCAGATCCCTTCATTCATGACCTGAAGCTGACCAGGGCGCAGAGGATCAAGGTAATGTCCAAATTTAAAGTCTGAACATTTGATTTCAGGGCTGCAGTGGAGCGGAGAGGAAAAGACGCTGTACTTTTTGATAGCTAGATAAGAAGGGCTTCACTCAGCTCTCACAAAATCGGCCACCTGAGGAAACTCAAGTAGTAATTTGACCTCCATCCTAACTTGTAAACGCAACTTACTGTGATTTCAAAGAGTCCGTGAGATAATGATGCTATATTTATAAAATTACCTTTTATGGTCTTTTTTTAAAACATGCCTCATTTCTGTTTCCCAACTTCTTTGCTCATAAGAGAACAAAGTCACAGCTCTCTTTTGAGTGTTGTGCTTAAGCAAAACAGACGAGTCATAAATGTTTTTTGCATAGAAAAAGCATGACTGATTACATACCACAGAGTTGCATAACTCCTATGACAAACGTGCAAGCTGGGCTGGACAACATGGCCTTAAATTGGTTTCATGATGCTCATAAGAAAATGATATACTGATAGAAAGCAAAATATGGCAAATGAATCTATCTAAAAAAGTGATTGTCAATGCAGTAAATGGTGTGCTGCTATACACCAGACAAAAGACTATTAAATAATTTATTTTGATCATGATACATTGTGACAGTACAAATTACTTTGCGTTTAAGTAATGTGTTAAATCAATAAAAAGTGATTGTGTCAGAGTTTTAACATCAACCATGTTTGTGATTTTACAAGATGTAGACCTAAATTATGTTTTAAATGTACCTTCTTTTTCTTCTAAAATATATATATATATATATATATATATATAGGGCATCATCCTGGGCAGCATCCTCTTCCCTCTACGCGTGATCCTGGCGGCTCTTTGCTTCCTCATCATGTGGCCTCTTGCCCGGCTACGATTGGCCGGCCTGCCTGAGGAGGAACGCTCTCGGCCCGTCAAGGGCTGGCGGCTCTGGCTCCTCCACCCGATGCTGTTGTGGCTGAGCCGAGCTGCCTTCTTCTTTTTGGGCTTTCTGTGGGTGAAGGTCAAAGGTCGCAGGGCAGACCTGAAGGAGGCACCGGTGCTGGTGGTGGCACCTCACAGCAGCTTTCTGGACATGATGGTTCTGTGTCAAACCCAGCTGGCAACGGTGGTGTCGCGGTCGGAGAACACCAGCCTGCCAGTCATAGGAGGTGAGGGGCTGTGAATGAGTTAGTCTGACATGTTGGTTGTTCCTTCTAAAACTGCAGTTGGATCATCTAACCAGTGCTGACATGATTAGTTGATTGATAAATGAATCAATGAGAGAGAAAGAGAAATTGAAATTGAAAGTCGCTTTGGATAAAAGCGTCAGCTAAAACTCAATAAATGTAAAAATTATTATTAATAATAATTGGATTGTTGGTAGCACTCAACATCATCCTTGGACTCCGGGATAATGGTGATGGACATTTTTCGTAAGTGGACCAAATAAGTAATCCAAGAAAGTAACTGGCAGGTAAGTGATCATTAAAATATAATTAGTCGCAGCCCAGACACTTGTTAACTGCTGTAGTTCATTAATGCAGTCACTTGGTACCAGGTAGCTCTGTCATGGAGGCGGAGAGAGGGGTGGGGAAGCCATGTTTACCTGCTTGGAAAAAGTGCTAGTGCCCCTGTTGGTCAAAACTTAGCCTCTTTAGACTTTGAACTCATCGTGTGGACAACCTCTCCTTTTGTTCGTTAAAAAACAAATAAATTATGTTGCCTCTGACCCTGCACTGCACACTATTCACCTTGTTCACCTGCTTTTTTCTTACCTGCTGTTGTAAGACACTCCTGTCTTGTCTTTTGGTTTGGGTGTGAAGTTCATTGTTTATTTGAAATGTGTTGAAAGTGGCCACACTCTGTACTGTGTTAGATGCAAGATGTTTGACTGTCCCATAGCAGAAAAACGCACATAGATCGTGGGTTAAGTTTTTCTCAATTGGTAATTTTCCATACTTTTTTTTTTTTTTTTTTTTTAATGGTGATTTTAGAAATTCATGTCAACATAAAGGCTTCAAAAGCTGTAGAGTTTCATCTTTACCTATTCCCCCTTCTCCTTGTATCTGCATACTTTCCTCGTAGGAGACAGTGAAAATGTGAAGGACAACAGGAGAAACAGAGCAATGGAAAATATCTTTGCCGAGACGTAATAGAAGGCACGCAGAGGAAAGTGTAAAACTTTCACTTGGGCAAGCAATAGGAGGTATTGAATGGAGAGCATCCTGCCAAAAACGTAGTACTGCCAGCTTGTATCCAGCAGGATGAAGTCACTTGTCATGTTTGTATTTATGCTTGGATGAAATTATGTTCTTACCAAATTTTGGTTTTAATCTCAGCTGGAAATTTTTCTTCTATGTTTCTTGCACACTAACTTGCAGGGCACAGTGCGTTTTACAGTGCTCGAAGATGGGAAATCTCAACCCGGGTCGCCCACCTGTTTGGCAAACAACCAGGGTTAACATCTTGAATACAGGGGTCAAGAGCAAAATTAAAGTATGTGAGAAGTCCAAAGATAAACAACTCACTCCTGACTCACTCCTTGGCTTCTATTCAGCTCTGCCTGCTTTGGCACTTCCTGTCTTGAAGTTTTGGCCGTCTGCTCTGGACTCCTCCCTTGGTTCTGGTCTTGCCTGACTGTGTGTGTGTTTCAGCTCTGCTGGAGTTCAACCAGTCTGTGCTGGTGAGCAGGAAGGATCCACAGTCGAGGAAAAAGGCAGTCGCGCAGGTCAAAGAGAGGCTGACCTCCAATGGCTACTGGCCTCAGGTAAAATGTGTTGATGATCGACAACCGAACGCTATTAAGAGTGTTGACAAAAGATTATCTGGTGCACCTTGTTTATTTAAGTGAAAAGGCAGATAAGCACTTATCTACTTCATCCTGCAACAAATAGGGTGATGCTGTAGTCACTTAAACAACAATAACAAGACAAACCAGAAACCGTTCAAAAAGAATAACTAACAAATGACTTGTCAGGATTAGCGTTATAGATCTCTGCTTCAGCACCTGAAAACAGATGATCAAGATTAGATGAAGTCTTTGGGGTGGGAAATGGCACAAAGTTAACCTCAGGTCAGTCCTTTAGTGGGAATAAACAGAAGATGCTGAGCGTTTAATCAAATTAAAACCAGTCCATCTGTACAGAACCACAAGCTTGGCCTTAAGATACGTTGTCAGTGGAGATGCAACAATAATTTGATTAGTTGTCAATATTAAATGAATTATCAGCTATATTGATAATGAATTAATCTGTTTGACTAATTTATTAAAGGGGGAAAAAGTAAAAATTCTCTGATTTCAGCTTCTTAAATGTGAATATTTTCTGGTTTCTTTAGTCCTCTATGACAGTAAACTGAATATCCTTTGGGTTGTCGACGAGGAAGTCATTTTGAGCTTTGGGAAACACTGACATTTTTAACATTTTCTGACATTTTATAGACCAAACAACTAATCGTGAAAATAATCGACAATGAAAATAATTTAGTCGCAGCCCTAATTATCAGTATAGTAGTTGTTTCTTTGATGCAGGTTTTAATGTTGTGTTGAAAGCCTGTAAATTCACCTGCTGGAAGTGCACAGAGCTGCAGTCACACCTTAATCCTTGCTCACACTACACAATTTTTTGCCTGATTTGCCGCTGGGCAAGCTCAGCGACTGTCAGGCTGTGATTGGGGGTAAATCAGTCGTTATGTGTGAACTACTCAACGACTCATCGAAACGGCTCCCTGACACATTTCTGACACATTGCCAACGACTGCCAGATATCTAGCATGCAAATATTTGGAGGAGTAAGCCAATGAGAGCAGGCAGCTACTTTTTCTCTGCAAAACACATTTTACTGACCTGCAGCTTTCTCTGTAGCTCAGTCAATCCCTGCTACCTGCGTGTGCTAATCCATTCTTTCACCCATATTCTTTGTCTTTATAATTGTTATCTTTATAATAACAAACAGCTGTTGTCTTTAGGTTCGTGTCATTTCCCGTTTCACATTTTCCATGTTTTCTTGAAAAAATGTGGTTTGGAGACCAGCGTCGGGTGACTTAGCTGCTGTCAGCTCGTGTAGTGTGTGACCCCCTGTCACCAATCAGTCACGTAGTGTGAACGCCAAAACGACTTCAAGACTCCTGTCACAAGTTGTGTAGTGTGAACGACACGGCCATCGGCTGATGCTGAAAATCGTTTAGTCGGCACAAGCCTTGAATTAACTCCATGAATTACGTTTCTTATTTCTTGGCTAGATGCTGATGTTTCCTGAGGGAACCACGACCAACGGGAGCGCTCTCATCAAATTCAAGCCTGGTGAGTAGTGGTTCTCGGCACAAACCGTAACATAAGCTAGTTCTAACATTGTTAAGAAAGGTATTATGTATTCATAACGCTTATTATTATTATTATTATTATTATTATTATTAAAATTATTAAAGGTGGCCGCTGTTTGTGCAAATCATTACATTGGAATGAGAGGCATGCATGGTGTGAGAGGGCGTAGCAGCGGATTGTTTTGTTTCTGAATGATCAACTACTGTCTTTAATAAAATGACTCAATCCAGTCTCTCCACTCTTGTCTCATTTTTTCCCATCTCACTGTGACCAGGTGCCTTCCTTGCCGGAGTCCCAGTCCAACCTGTTCTGTTGCGTTACCCAAATGAGCTGGTGAGTGTAGTCATCGGCTTCGACAGGTCGGCCTGCTATTTGGTAACAACATCTGCTAACTGATAAACATGACGTATTTGATACTTGCAGTTGTCATGTTTCCTGTTCAAGAGTAAGACTGGGTAACTTTACTTTTAAAATGTGTTTTATCCAGGGAGACTGAGGAGTGAATACACTTAAATTTAAAGCAGGGCCATGATTTTAAGGTCTCGGAGTAAGAACACTCCAAAAGGTCCCCTCAAAGTTGGTTTTGCGGTTGTAAACAAACAAAAGATTTAACATTAGAGAAAATCTTTACAAAAAAACTAAAAAGATGTACTCTCCCTTTTTTTTTTTTTTTGTCTCCAATTCACCCCGCCAAACGGATGACCTTTCTTTTGATATGTGATTGAAAACCAGATAAAATAAAAAGAGCATGTTCACCCTGTTTTAAAGATGGCCTGCTTGGCTTCAAATCTACACATTTAAGAAAGAAATTATGTTTGTACTGTCTCCTGTTTTCCTACGTGAAGCCATAAAGAACAGATTATTTGGTTAAATTGTAAAGGATATGCTAAATAAGCAAATGTCCAACAGATCGCGATGTGTGAACATGTCCGGTAGTTATCTTCTCTCAGCCTCACCATAAACAGAGAGAAGGGAATCTGCCAAATTGTCAAACAAGCTAATGGTTTTCAGAGTTTTAATATTAAAACATGTAACTGCTGTTAGAAGACAAAAAACAGTTTCCAAGGTATTTTAGAAAGGCCTTACAAAATACCAGAGTAAACAAACTTTTGACAAACCTTTTGCTTATGTTTCAGTATAAAACAATGTATGAAACAACTAAAGAATTTTAAATTGTGGCTAAAAGTCAAATTGATTTTGTAAAGCCCTTTTTAGAAGCAATAGTTGCTGACCACAGTGCTTTACAGAGAAATTTAAAATATAATTAAATAATTAAAACTAAAATAACTTGCAGACAAAATCTTAAACTATTTTATCGTTATCTTAATAATTAATACGACTCGATTTATTAAGAGAGGAAATCACTTCCCAAACAAGTCTGCTTGGTTAAGGTACAGACATTAAAAAGCCTGAATTATAGTGGCTAAATGATTTTAAAAACAAGACCAGAAGTTGAGCAACATGCATTTGTAGCATGACTTGGCACATACAGGGGACGATTTGTTTCGTTACTGCGGTTTCTTTTGATATGCGGTTCTTACTTATTTGTATCTGCCATGTCTTTTTGACACTTCCCTGTCCATAGGTCAGTGTGCACACTGCACTATCCTTTTATCAGATTGTAGTTACGTTTATAAACATCATGTAATATTTGTCCAGGCTGGTATGTTTGCATACTAGTTCCTGTGAGGGTGTGTAGTAGGGGAAAGGGACTAGAATTACACATGCTTTATTAAAAAAAAAAAACTCCACCCAGTCTGTTACTATGGATAGATTATTTTGTTGTTGCATTCAGTCCATGTTTTAATTAGTCTTTTTATGACTTTTTCTCAGGATACTACTCGCTGGACATACAAAGGAACAAGCTGGTGAGTTCCTCCAATCTAACTGTCTGGTTAATGTGTGTGTTTTATATAGGCGGAAAGGTGGGACAGTCATTTTAACAACTTCCAGGACTTTGGATTCTGCTCAGTAACTTGATTTTTTTTTGCATCCTCCAAAAGGACCCATTTCTAAAGCAGATAAACTTGTAAGTGAGTGTAAATTCACAACTGTATGCATTACGGAAGCTTAGCGCCTTCTAGGTAGTGTTGGTTGATATGACAATATGTGTGTATGTGTTGTATGAATTTCTCTGCAGTTGGAGAAATATTGTCAAACCATTTATATAGTAGCTGTAATTTTTAACTATCTCTTGAGTGTATTAGACAACCATTGTAGGCAAGTGCAAGTCTTTTGGATAAGTGGTGAAACATCTTCTAGTATCTTCAACCAAGTCCAGTTGCCAGTGATTTTAACCTTCACAGACATGTCTTTATATCTATCTTTATATCTTTGTTATCTCTCCATCTATACTGTGTGTATATTTCAAATAACATACCATAATAGAAAATTGTATCTACGTTTTATTCAGTCCTTGCCAAGTTTTATTTTCTTTTTATTGCATGACAATAATCATGACAACCTGCAAAAAGTCAAATTTGATCCAAAGTAAAATCTACAAACAACTAATCAAGAGTAATTAAATACATTTAACTGGCTGCTGATTTAAATAATGTACAACTTTTTAAAGTGAATGAACATTTTCTTTGGACGGGGCCCTCACTTCCTGCATAAATCGTTTTGGGGGATTATCATTTAAAATGTTGGGAACATGTGACTTATTTTTTTTTTCAGGTGTAGGGCTGTGAAATCACTATTTCTTTCAAGTTTAAAGGCAGATTTTTTGCTCCTGAGTAAAAGTTGAAAGAAACTATATGGTTAATTGTGGTTTTAAACTTTTCTTTTTGGTCAGAAAAAACACAGTGGACAGTGGATCACTTAATAAATCCGAGGTAGAACATTCAAAACTATTTATAAAATCTTTTTTCAACAAATACACCTAGAGTAAAGTTAGTGAAAGGCTTTTTCAGTCCCTTTTCCTCAACAAGATAAATATCTTAATAGAAAAATTAAGTGCTAATTCATTTTGTGATTCAAATTAATTAAAAAAATTTTGTTATATTGTTGGAAATGACATAGCGATAATGATCATTTATTGTTTTATTTCCCCGCCCCACTCAGGCGTAGCAGTTACGCACAGCAACAGTGATTTTTGTACATGAACTATAAGATTGGCTTTTTGTCTGTTTAGGCTTGAGGCACTGTGGTACACGACTTCACAGTTCTACACCAACATGACTATTGAGGTAAGACAAGTTTATCATTCTCCTGCAACACACCCCTGACCACGCTGATCACCTGTGGTGGGTGGGGTCAGAGGTGTAACAGACATACAGGAGTGATCAGTTCTCTTTAGCTTGGTGTGAGCCTGCTTTTAAAATTTTGATTTGAATGTGTGAATATAAAAATATTTTATAACCGCTGTGTGTTTTTCTGTTGTCTTTGGGATGTGAAACCTGTCCCACCTTTACCTGCTACTGTGACTTTAAATGAAATAAAATGATGTCTGTCCTCTATGGTGGTCCAGTTCCTGCCAGTCTACAGTCCTTCCCAGGAGGAGAAGGACGACCCCGACCTTTACGCAGACAATGTTCAGAAACTCATGGCCAAGTAAGTAGAAGAACATGAATTTGTTTTAGGATTTATGTCACAATGTCGGGTACAATGGGCTGAAAGGGGGAGGGGTTACGCCTGCACACTTACTTCATCCCTTAAAAGTGACACTGTTTTGATCCTACTTGGATCATCTTCAAGTCAGAGTGGCAACAATTTATTTATTTTTTGTCATTATTTTCTGACAGCTTAGCACCTGCTGCCTTAAACTATGTCAGATACATTCAGTAATAATTTAAGATGAGCCGTTATTGGTCCCCACCCCACAGGGGGAATTCTGGTGTTGCAGCAGAACAACGACCGAAATAAGGATAGAGAAGTAGAAAAAAGTAAAACTTGAATAATTAGAAGTGGAAATAATATAAGAATGGAAATTCTATAGAAACTATACAGGAGCAATTGTATTGTTAAATGTTGTGATATAGTATAACGTAATATTATAGTACAGCAATGTAGCATAGAATGTAAAATACAATAAAAGATGATATTTAATGTTTCGCTGCACAAATGAATGATGATAAGAGTATAATTTATAAGCAGCTTGCTAGTGCTGTGGATCAGTGCTGCTCTTTAATCTGTTAAATCACTGGCTGCTGGGATGCCAGGCTGGTCAGGGAGGGCTCCAATAAATGGGCCCAATAATCTCTCAATCTGAAAGAAAACAAACACACATTGGCTGTTGAGGAGTTTGCAGATGTTGTAGTTTCCCACAGCTGCCAATAGATGTTCACAAAGAGCCATATTTATTTCATGGATACTTCTTTGGCAGACAGGAGGCCATGCTGTGTGTCTCTCTATGTTTTAACATCCACTGATTAACTGCTGTGCTGTTTTTGGTATTTATCGTAGAGACCACAGTTTATTTTGGGCACTTCAGTCACATGCATGACATATTTTATTTTGTCCTAATCAGCTTTTTTTGTGTGTTTGGATTCATTTCACACTGACAAACTATAACCGCCCCAGTCCCACATTGCAAGCTCGTGATTTGGACAAAGTTTTGGAGTTGTCATCCCTCGATCTCCTGTCACCCAGAATCCACTCTCTATTTTTTTTTTTTGATGAAAAATGACAGCCTTGTTGTCTTGAATCACATTAATTTCATTCAAAACAAATCAAAATGGACATTTGAGGACGTCTGTTTTAGGTTTTAGTCCAAAACTGATGTGAAATTGCACTGATTTGGCCGCAGGAATTGAACTAAAGCTCTCAAACTTTAGCTCATGGAGTTAACGCAAGACCTTTTAATAAATAATAGCCTGTATACCTGATGTCTCTTATAATGAACTTCTCTGCTGTGCTTCAGGGCCCTCAGAGTACCAGCTACAGATTATGTGATGGAGGGCCGAGTTCCTGTCAACAAAGTGGGTGGTCTCTCGCTCCCACTGGTGTCGCCTGCCAGGGAAACACTCTCGCTGTTACGCAGAAACGGGTAAGAGAACATCTGTGTTCGGCTCCTGGCCTTCTTTTCTCTTCTTTCTTTTCCTCTTCTTCTCACCATCTTCCTCGTTCTCTCTTTCAGTCTGGGAGCGCGTGACGTGGAAGCAGCACTGGAGAGAATGATTGACAGGTGTCAGTCAGGAGCTCAGGGGTCAAAGGCCAGTGCAGAGGAGCTCGCCTCTATTCTCCGACTCACGGATAAACAGACAGCCGTCACTATCTGTGGCCTCTTCTCCAGGGTAGGGACTGTGTGTGTGTGTGTGTGTGTGTGTGTTTGTACTAAGATTATCTACTTGAGCTTGATGCATCTTCCAGGACTCTGACATTTTTCACTGCTGGTTATCTTTGTTTTTGTAGATAACTAACAACTGCAGGGGGGTGCTACACGTCCTCTGGAGTTTTATGGTCATTTGTTTATCTTGTGTGTTGTCATCTCTTCACTTGACATTTATTTGTGATGTATATTTTCTGCTACCATTAACTCCAGAAGATGTTGATGAAAAAGCCTCTGAACATCTTAGTGCCCCAAGCTGTGTATTATCCAAAAATTGTTCTGCTTATTCACGAAGCGCTGTATCGCCAGTGAATACTCGCATGTTCTGTGATTTGTTGTACAGTTTGCAAGACCTACAAAGTGTAATATAATACCATTTTATAATGTAAAAGTGTGTTGTTTTTTTAGTAATTAGCAAATCGGTTTGATTTCAGTTTCTTCTCTCACTGGACACCAAAAAAAACATCAACCCACAAAAATAAAAATATATTAAGTGTGTGTAGAAACATGTTTTGTTTTTTTCAGGATGAGACTGTGGACCTCAGGCAGATCTATGTGAGTGTTGCTGCTGTGTTGGGATTTGTCAGCTTCAAGTCTCTGCTGCACACTGCTGTTGCTGTAAGTCCTGTTTTATTTGTTTTCAGTCTTTTTCAGACTCCACCTTAAGGTCGCCTTCGCAGTGAACGTCTTCACAATGTGAGGATCTACCATCTCACTCTTACTTGCTGTTGTCTTACAAAGTTTATTTTCTTTTCTAGCTGTTTGACGGAGAGGGCAGAGGCAGTCTGAGTGCGGAGGAGCTGTCCGGCCTCATGGGGGCGCTGCTGGGCGTTCCTCAGCACCACACTGCTGAGCTTTACGCTCTGGCCTCAAATCAAGAACAGCTTACTGAGGGTGAGCGTCTCTGAGTAATTAGTTTAGCAGCATAACTAACTGTTTTAATATTAGTGGGATAACAGGCAACTTAAGTCTCTTGTTTAGTTATTTTGTGTGTTTGGACACACAATGAGCGTGTGAGCGTATTGTTTGTGCGGACTGTAAGGAAAATAAAAGTCACCTTTGCACCAAGTATCCGCTGTGTTGTACTGGACAGATGATGCACTTTTTTTATTTTTAGGTAACTGAATTGTAAAATCTGTTATGAAATGTCATATTTAAACAAAATTGCCTTGCCATGTTTTATTTAAAGCTTACTTTATAATATAATAGTCAAAACTAGGAACCCATTGATGGATCTGAAATACGCATACACATTTCTGTCCGTTCAGTAATTTATCACTATGTTTGTACCTTTTAAACATTTAGAGAAACAAACATAAAAGAGATTTACAGAACAGTTTTCACAAATGGTACATGTTTACAAGTACAATCTGTGAATCTCAGAAACATTTGGGTTTTTTTCTGCAAAATACCTGATTTGTTTTACCTGTTTGTTTTGATCACTTATTGGCAGTTTAGTGGTCAGTTTTATTTTGATGGTCGAGTGCTGGTATTGTCCCTTCCATTACTTCGTGTCAAATACAAAAGCCTCCTGAGTTGCATCTCGCACGTTGGTGTGAAAGGTTTAGACAAAGGTTAATATTAAGAGAAGGCTGAAGTCAGACTCGAGGTGATTATGACACGTCACTGGGTGATTTCGTGTCAGAGCACAGTAATATCCTCTTTACATTACACTTTGTTTCCACAGAAAATCTGCTGCAAGTGCTGACAAGCCACCCGACCTATCAGAAAGCACTGAGCAAGTACATCCCGTCCGTCCCGCTGGCCAATGGGAAGGCTGTGAACAAAAACGGAAACGTGCACAACAGCAACGGACACCTCCACTACAAGGAAAAGTTTGAGTGAGGATTTGTTTTCTACAGGATGTTCAGTCAAGTTTGTGATACTGATCATTCTTGAGTGCGGCAACTGGACAAAGTGAACCAGAATAATCGTTGGCAGAGGGTTGTATTTTTTTAAGAGGTGTGTGTGTGTTTAGTATGTATTTCTGTAACAAACAGTCAGCCATGCTAACATTAGAAAACCAAAGAATGACTTAAATTATGACTCCATTGGCTCTCTGAGGTGTGTGTGTGTGTTGTGAATTTGAGGACTTGTTCTTGTTTACTAGTGTACCTTTTTTAATTACCTTTAAAAAATGTTGTTCACGTAAATGTCATTTGATGTCTTAAAATGTCTTATTTATACAATTCCCATTCCCTCATATGTATTTTGAAGGTTATGTTGTTGTTGTTGTTGTGTTTTTTTTTGTTTTTTTAACAGGACACTAGTATGTGCAAAAATAAACAAAACGCACTGTAAAGGAAAACGTTTTATTTTATGTAAAATAATCATTTTTACATGTTTTGTGAATATTGTTTCTATTTAATATTAATTAAAGTGAATTATTTAAAGGAGGTTTTGCTGTCTGTGTGTTGTTTCCCCTCACTTTCACATCTCAGACATTTAATTAAAGCGCAAAATGCACATTCATTTATTAATTATCCATCTTCTTTCCACTTCTTGGTGTTTTCCTTTTCTTATCTCTGTATCTAGCTGTCGTTTGGGTCTGTTTGTATTGCCCAAGATGAATTCTTGATACTTTGTGGGTACCTTTTCACAACGCAGTCTCTTGGAAGGAAAACGTGGGATGAGAGTTCCCTTAAGACTCGTTCTGGTTTCTATCGCACTGCTACGTCCAGCTGATGCATCTGAAATCTCTTCCTCCTTGGCTTTTCTGTTACTGCTTGCTGAGGGTGCGCCAGATGTTTCTGCCTCATCTTGGCCTTTCCTGTTCACTGTCAGCTTTTGCTGTTCATCTCTCTCTGCTCTGCACCTCCACCTTCCTCTTTTCACCGGACTTGAGCTGATCATTTCCGTTTCAGTCCTCACTTTGTCTGATGTTCGCACCGTCTTATTCACCCTTTCCTCTCTCTCTTCAGAAGCTGTGCGTTCATGCCAGTGTCTTTTCATCGGACTCAACATGAGGCTTGGGCCTTCTGCCTCTTCATTTATTATTTCATCCTCACCTTTCACGTCTGCTGTCTGGTCTGGACGGGGTTTGGTGTTGGATGGCTGCTGTGTTGCTTCCTCCTCTTGAACCCCTCTCCTATTTACTGTCCTTTTTGAGGCATTTAGTTTTTGAGTTTGTGACCTTAAGTTGTAAAAGCCCAAAGTTTTGGGTCCCGTGATGTTCCCATGTTGATCTGTCTCGCCTCTTTTTACCCCTCTGTCAGCTCCATCTCCACTTAATGCAACCGTTTCGCTTTGTTGCCGGGCCTCTGGACACCGAGCCGGGGTTAGATGTGGGTTGTTCTCACAGGTTGTCACACAAGGGGACTCATTTCTCTTGTCCAGTGGACCTTCCCCTGGTGACTCCTTTGTTGAGTCTTTTTTTGAATGAGTTCCAGTCTGAACTCTTGGGCTCTGCAGACTGCAGTTTCCAGAAACCTGTTCCTCATTGGTCTTGCGTCCCGTTGAATCAGCGTCCTTGGCCCTCTCCCCACTCTCCTCTGCCTCTCTCCTGCTCCTGCTTCTTTTCATTGGACTTGAAATCAGTGGAGTCTGTGGATCAGTTTCCTCCTCCTTCACATTTCCCTTTAGTTTGTCGTCTTCCTGCATTCCTCTCTCTGGTGAGGACCTTATCTCGCTTCTCTCCGTCTGTGAGTGTTTGACTTTCTTTATGCTTCCAGCTGCAGGAAGAGTCGGCTGCACTTTTTCCTCAATCGTCATGCTCCTTGTTCTTCTTACAGACATTTGAATGCCTTCCTCTCTTCTTTCTATCCCCTCGCCCAACTGTTTCTCCTCTTGTGCCGTTAGAGCATTTTCTGCCCCCATTTCAGTGCTCTCTCTGGGGTTATTGGCCTCACACTGTTTACCTCCCTCCACATTGAGTTTCTGCAACTCCGCTACGAGCTTCTGATGTTCCGTCTCTCCTGTCTCTGAAAATTGCTTTGCTGTATTTGCTGTTTTTGTTGCCTGGCTCCGCTCTTCAAAATGACTCTCCTCTCTTTTATGTAATCGCCTTCCTCCTGAGGGCCGTCTCTCCTCTTTTTCATTAATTACCCTCTCGTCCCTCTCTGGGGTGATTTTTGCTGTTTTCTTAATGCTCTTTTCAGATGGTTTCCTCTCCTCTGCTGTCTCTATAGTAAGTTCACCACTCAGTCTTGTTTTCTCTCTTTCATTTAGATCTGACAGCCTCGGCCTGCGTCTAGTGTTTGTTGTTCCCTTGAGCTTGGCTTCATTTTCTTCATCGTCCTTCCTTTCAGAAGTCTTTTTAGTCATCTCTTCTTTTCTTGCTGTTGGCTCTTGTGTCACTGTTGTTCCAACACCTTTTCCCAGATTTTTGTCACATTTTCTCTCCGTTTCACCCGGTTTTCCTGCGCTGAGTTCAGAGTAAACACCAGAAACTTGCTGTCCTTTTGTTGCCTCTATTGTCTGTTTTTCAGGAACAGCGTCTGATGAATTGCCATCAACTAGGGGATCACAGGACTCTGCAGGGGAAACTGAATTAGCTGGCATAAGAATTGTGTAGTCCTCAGGACAAGAGGACGTTGGGCTACATTGTTCCTCAGGTTCCCTTATCTGAGCTGGTGGCGGGGGCAGTGGGTGAGGAAGTGTTTTCCAAGCTAGGACACTCAGAGCTGGAGGGCTGGCTGACTGTGGTGGGCTTATGTTCAACAAATCAGCTCTGAAACTGGGCACAGGATCCTTGACGGCAATGGTATGAGGGTCCTGGATTGACCCAGAAATACTGGAGGTTGAGGGGGACTCGGAGGCAGGAGGATTCCCGGGTATAGGTCCTCCCTGAAGATTTTGGGACACCTGAGCTGACTGCGTGTCTGCAAGGTTCGAGAGGGACACTGAGGCTGCAGGTTCCTCTACCAATTCACCGTTGCCTCTAGTTTCCAAATCAGAAGTAAGACTGGTGTCTCTGGAGATTTTGGCAAGCAACTGCTGAGATAATTTAAAACTATAATCCATGAAAAGGGAGCTCTCGTAATAAAGACTGGATGTGGCGTTAACAGGGTTACAGTAATTTGTTGTGGGGTCAGGTGGTAGTGGTTTTTCTGTAAGGAGTGAAGGGAGGAGGGCAGAACAGGGAGTCCGAACTTTGGATCCTATATTCCTCGTACTCAGAGGTGCGTTTTGTCCATTGATGTCTGGATTTGTGTCGGACTGTGAGCCCGGGGGATCCAGAATGCGTGATTGAGCTCTTGGAGCTGGTGCAGTTTCCTCGACATGCAAAACAGCTGGAGATGCCTCTTTGGTTACAGGAGTTACTCTGTTGGAGTCGGCAGCTGGTGGATGTAAATGCTGCTGCAGGATCACCTCCAAAGCCTGTTGACCAAGAGAAAAACAAAGAATGACTTAATTGGCCTTTTTAACTTTTAATTGGAACTTTTTTTCTGTAGCATGTATACACACAGTTGATAGTTTATTAGGTAGGCCTACAACTAGCTAAAACTAATACTGTCTAATACAGTAGGTAGGCTTGATTGCAGGACTTTGGTATTAGACTGCATTTGTTTTAGCTAGGTGTACCTAATAAACTGGCAACAGAGTGTACTTGTTATAGGAAAATGATACTGCAATCAAATATAAAAATATAAAATACGCTGTCAGGAAACACACTTGAAGAGTTTTACCTAAAATTCCCTTAATACTCCGTCAACCAAGAGTTGACAAAGTTTGTTAAAGTGCCAAATCACAGCCACAAAACCTATTATTATTATTATTTTTACCTCTTGCTCAAGTTCCTTTAGTGGGAGAAGGTCAATGGGCTCTGGATCTGAAGAAAGGAGGGAATCCAGGTACTCCGTGTTCAGTGTCGACCCCGCCTGAAAGGAAGAGCCATTGCTTAATAAGGTATGTATGTTGATCTTATCAGCTGTTTCCCCAAACATCTCAGTCATCCAACAGCGTGAAATATAGTGGACCTTTGCTGGAAACAAGATTATATTAAGTCAATGTATTTACAGAGCACATTTAAAAAAACAAAAACAAACGTTGAAAGTGATTTACAGAGAGATTAGATTAATCGATTGATGATTACAAGCAAACACAAACACAGGAATGATGATAAAAACACACACACACACACAGAAAAGAGGATATAAGTAAATTAACAAAAGCATAGAATATCTTGATAAAACCACCACACAAACAAAATTGCACAAACAACAAATAAAATAAAAACAAATTAGAACCAGAGTGTGTGAAGGCACGTCTCTATGATCTCGATCACCTTTGGTTTTTAACTGTGTGTGGAATGGAGAGTTGTGATTGGTCACCAGATCTGAGGGATCGGGAGGTGGAATAGATGTCATATTGTCATGGTTAAAAAGGTTATCATGACAGAAATGCTTTTGCCTTGAAAACCATTCCGATTCAATGAGAATGAATGCTGTGAATACTTCATTTGAAAGCTACTCCACTACTAACTAATGTACCTTCAGCACTGATTCTCAGCTCCAAACTCTTGCCAGTGTCTTTACATTTTAGGTAGGTGGGTTTATTGTCACAATTTAACAAGTTATAGAGTGAAGTTGAGTTTTGTAACTCCCTTCTGCTACATAGCAGAAAATATATATTAATACGGAATCAATTATAAAAATGGTAAAAAGAAATAAACTATCGGAGCAGTGCTGAGGATGATAGCTTTGGGGAGAAGCTGCTCTGCAGTCTGGTTGTGTGGCAGCAGAAACTTGTATATATCTTCCCCGAAGGCAGCAGGGTGAACAGGCTGTGGCTGGGTGGGTACTGTCCTTTAGTATCCATTGGGCTCTGCGTAGGCACCTCACCTCACCGATATCCCTGATGCTCGGGAGATGGGTACCATTGATCTTCTGAGCAGTTTAATCACCCGCTGCAGAGCCCTCTGGTCCTGGGCCGTGCACATCCCATGCCATATTAGGATATTATGACGTGGCATTATGATATTAACACCACTTACCCTTCTGACAAAGACCTCATCGCTGCACAGTTCATCCAGATACTCCAGAAATGAGCTTTTTTCTGCTTCATTTTCATTCTGTCTGGCCGCCACACGTTCTTGGATCTGAGCGCAGTCAGAAGCAGCAAGATTTAGGCGTTGATGGTGCATTAGTTTTACTGTAGAAACATAACTTTGCACATTGTAGAGTTTTAAAAGTGAAAAGTATTTTGTACCAACAAAAACATTTTGTGGATGAAAGACGAAATCTGCTAACCCTACACAAATATTTTTTCTAAAAATAATAATGTTATGGTGTGACATATGCAGAGTAATTTGTGCTAGATTTTATATAATAACAACCTCAGGGCTGAGGGAGTCCATGATTATCATGTATTCTTCAAAGGCGCGTTCTGCCAGAGATTCTTCGTCTAAAGGTGGTAAAGATTCAGGAGAAACCTTGGACTTTGTTGTTTGACAGTTGGTGTTTTCTGCTTGTAGTTTGTCCTTGTCAGGTTTGTTCTCGTTCTGCTGTTCTTCTGTGAGGAAAGACAGTGTAGGAACTTTTAAAAAGTAAGAGAAAAGGGACAAAAATGTGAGTTTAACATTTGCTTATTTTCAAAAACCATGCCTTTTTCTAAGATCTCGAAATGGGTAATTACTCAAATACTTTGTGCAAAGCAAGACAGAGTCTGCAGCCATACTCGCAGCCAGTCTTGGAAGAAGTATTCACATCCTTTACTTCTGTAAAAGTACCAGTACAGTAATGCAACAATACTCCATTACTATTGTAGCAGGATTATTGTCTAAACACACATCAAAAGTAAAAGTACTGTTTCTGCACTAAAATATCCCTAGTTGTATATTCTTAAATATGACATTAGATGGTTAATACTGATGCATCATTGTGTTAAAGTTAGGTAGTTTCAGTGGCTCTCAGGATAAATCTGAAGGTTCATGAGATGATCAATGGATGAGGACAGAACCAGTTCAAACTGCTATTTAAATAAACCATCTGAGAAGTTTAGAAGGGGAATCATTTACTGCAAATAACTCATAGTTTGAATTGTGACAAGCGACCCCGACAAGACACTGCTTTTATGTAAGGGGTCACAAGCTAAGAAGGTGGGTAACCACTGCTTTAATCTTTGTGTTGTATTTTATTAGCACATCAAATGTATGTTATGTATTTTTTTTTTAATTGGAAGGTAACCAACATACCTACAGCTGTGTCAGATGTAGGCTATGTAGTGGAAATATTTCCCTCTCAAATGTGTGAGTAGAAGTATTAAGTAGCATAAAGCCAAAATACTTCAATATTGTGCTTAATTTCCACCACTGACTGCAGCTCTGTAGGCTATACTTAGACACAGTGGTGCTTTGGGCTAAATGCCAACATCAACAAATGCTAACATGGTCATAAACCAAAGTACTGGACAAATTATAATTATGACCAGATGATGGCGCTAGATAAAAGGTTAAGGGATCACAACTTATTACAACAAAAAATTAAAAATAAGGGGTACCAAATGCTATTGCTGTTAAGTTTTTTGTGTTTTGTTCGTTCCTGTTTTATTTTTGAAATTATCTTTCCTGGTGTGTCTTGTGTGACTAAGGCTAAGTTCAGACTGCAGGCCTTAATGCTTGATTCCGATTTTTTCTCCAGATCTGATTTCTTTGTTCACAGTATTGCTTAAATGTGGCCCATATCAGACTTCAGTGTGACTTGTCCGCGGCCTGAAAGCGACCCGCATGTGCAGATCATGAGCCTTCATTCTAAAGAGTAAATGTAGCTTTAATTTAATTATTAAAACCATTTTAAGGATCTGCTCTTCCTGGTTGTCAGCGTTCTGCGTCCTATCCCTCGTTTACTCTGTGCTTGACTAAGTGTGACAATAGCAAACCACACATAGATGTCAAGACATTTCACACAAAATGCACAAATGTACAACCTCATGGTGGCACTACAGGAAAAGTCATGTGATTGCCAGCAGGATTCATTCTCAGGGGACCATGAATGTCTGTCCTAAATTTCATGGAAATGCGTCCAATAGTTGTTGAGATATTTCAGTCCACCAAAGTGGGGAACCAACCAATTGATAGACCAACATTACCATACCTAGCTTGCATGGCTAAAAATTGACCTGCACAGTCATGTCACCTCCTTGTCCTTTTATCTTTGACCTCTGACCTTCTGACTTGGCCTGCTCTTCGTTCTGATCTCTCCCTGACGCTGCAGACGTTGCGTTTATCTGCTCGCTGACCTGCTGAACTGCTCCTCTCGAGACCCTGAAGTCAGATACATTATTACAGCCAGGATTATGAACATCAAGTGTTTATAAATCTGACATCACATTTATCTGCTCTATGTCGCTTACAGGTCGGTGCTGCAGGGCTGATGGACGTGCATCAGCGGACACAAGCACCAGCTGGGATGAACCTCCGGCAGGAGCCAAGAATGAGGAGGTGAATATGGGCTGTAGCATAACTCTGTTGGGCCGCAGATAGGAGCCAACACATAGGGACTAAAACCAAAGCTGGTATTCGCAGTGGAGGCGACGGGGCTCATATTTAGCAAGAAAGAGTTGTGTGGAGAACAGGAAGTAAATATGGTTAAAGTGCTGTCAGTACAGGCTGGGATGTGGGACCTTGGATCTGGTGATAAAGTCTGGAGGTTGAGCGGAGAGAGACTGTCCTGGGCTTGTGTCTGGGGTTCGATGGGCACAGTTAGGCCTGGGATCAGATGTCGCTGGTTTGAGTTGCATTGTGTCCAAAACTGTGTGTCCGTTCTTCCTTGTTCAGTGTTAGCTATGCTCCGGAGCATTTCTGCAACTGTGGAAGTTCTCTGTGACGCAGATTCATTCATCACATGGCGAGGTCCTGATCGATGAAACTGTCCTCGGCTGATGACTTCACGGCTTATCCAAAGGGACGGCTCTATCAGTCCACGGTTGTCTACTTCTTGTGAGGCAGATGTATACGCCGGACGTGGTTGGTGATAGTGTGGGAAGAAATTAGAAGATCCTGGATGAGTGATGATCTCCGGCAGAGAAAACACTGCTGGATCCATCTTTTATCTCTGTTGCTTGTAACTGTCAGAGGAATGTGAGAATAAAAGTCAGTAGCAATTTGACTTAAACAACAAATATACCATGACAAAAACATGAGCAGTTACTCAGCAAGTCAAAAACCAGATCGAAAATGTTTTCAGCGGTCTGGCAGTATTTCATAATGCTTTCCCATGAACCTTGAGTTTATCTCTTCTCTCTTATCCAGAATGCTCCAGGGCAAAAAAACAACGGTTTTCTTTTCACTGCCTGAGAGCATACTGGAAAAACCAGAGAGACAAAATATATCTCAAAATCCATCAACCTGAAGGACCAGCCAAATCACAACTGCAAGAAATGCTGTAGTATTTATTGACTACGAGATGTAAATAGATAAAGATCAATAAACAGAGCTGAAGAGTGTGGAATATACTTTAATGGACTCTGCACTGCAGTTCCACATACTGAAATAATAAAACTACAGCTTAAAATGTAATGCAAAGAAACAAAACAGAAAACAGTAACACAAGAACATATCGTACTGCACACATCCTACATGTCCACTGCATGAACCCTTGGCCAACTGCACCAGGTCAGGTACTGTTATGATTGCATCCTTGGATGAGAGCTTGCATTTCAACAGACTTCATGACAACTGACTTAATGTATCTGCTAATACTATGTAACAGCACACATATCACAACTGTGGTGAAATGACAGAAGTTGCTTTTAAGTGTTAAATGGTGGAACAGTCAGGTTCATTTTGCTCCTGATTTGAACAGTATTTACTATATTTCTTTATTTACACATTTTTAAATGATTAATTGAATTAATTTCTTTGAATACACTGAATACACTATTAAAACACAGCGGGTTTGTGCACATGTCCCTAACAAGATAAAACTTAAGAAGATAAAACTTACTCACACTGCTGCATTATATTAGCTGACATTTTTTGCATTTCTTTCAACCCTCTCCTATGTGAAATTATAAACTCCCAATGGAATAAACTTTTGGTCATGCAGTCTTAGTTTTTTACACTTATTTCAACATGTCTGTAAACATTTAATGCTAATTGTAATTTATGTAAGTTAAAAGCTACTGTTTCAGTGCAAACAATGTAACTGTAATAGTTCCCTCTCATTGGGCCTACCTGTCCTGTAAGAGATGATTAGTCTTCAACCGGTACAGTCAGTTTGCATCTGCTGTTTAAAAATAAACTTGATTTGCTTCTTAAAGTCAAAAGTTCTGTGCAGATAAACATTCCAAACTTCATGAAGTCTCATAAATTTAAATTTACTGCAGTTTTTATATACTTCCTAGTTTCCTTTTACAGTATAGATACTACAGTGTATAGTTGGTGCCTGATTCAAATAGCTAATTTGCGGCTGCACAATAACACAGCCAACTTTTAATCCTCATGTGCTCAGTATTATACAGCTATGTTCATAGACAAAACTAAGGTCAGAATTGTTTTATAGTGTTGGAATGTTTATGTAGCAAAATTAATAATTTTTTTTGAACAATAAAAAAGTTAATCAGTATTTTATATCAAACATTTCTCACTGTGTTCTTATGCAGGTGAAAGACACATTGTTAAATTTAATGATATTTTATTTATATAAATGTAATATTTAAAAAGCTCCATACTCCATCTATGGCAAGCGTGATGAGAACTGCCAATATCTCTATTACAACTGGGCAAACTCCATCCTCTGGTGGTGAAGTCCACGACATGTGGCTGAAAGCTCCAGAAGAAATCTGAAAATGGACCTTGGGTTAAGACCTACTATTTCCAAACTCACGAACGAACCTTCAACCTCAAAATCATTTAAATTTTTTCTCACCTACGATTCTGAAATTCACCTTTGGGATGTTGCGCAACGGGTCATATTAGGAAACCCCATTTCCCACAATGCTGTGCGGCTCGAATTCTAAACCGGATATCCGTTCTGCTCCCCGAGCGACGAGAAACTTCGCCACACGTGGAGTTCAGAAGAAAAAAAGCGAGTTACCTGCAACCTTTTGAGTCTTTTTCCATATAAAAAAGCTCGTCGGTATATTTTGTATTCTTTTAAGCTATAAAACAATTTTCGTCGAGATGTTTCTGCAGTTTTACCTAAACGAGGCCGGGGACCGAGTCTACACTCTGAAGGTATCGTTAACGTTGTTTACACTCTTCATATGTTTTCCGTGTAAATATACTTTCCTTTTTAAGTAGTTACACTTAAATACAGCTATGCATCGGCTTATGTGTCGAAACAAATCGTGGTTTCTGTATACTAAATCAACGTTGATTCACGTTATTAACTTTAGCTAGCAGCTGGGGGCATGGAAATTAAATATCTTACGTTACTGTTAATTTTAGAATTAAGGGGAGAAATAAAGCTAGTTAAAAATCAAACACAGAAGAAAGGCAATTCAAAGTGCATCGCCAGTGCCATGCTCCTTTCACTTAACCCCTTACGAATGACACTAAGTGTACTAATATTTCTAATTATCTACTTTGTAATCATGCTTTGGGTCAAACATTTTAGACCTGAGGCAAAACACCTCGACTGAAATATAGACCCACTTTACAAACGTCACAAAAACCAACACATTTTGAAATCAAGCATTGAGCTTTCAGTGATCAAAATAAAAGGTGCGTCAAGGCCAATTGCACAAGAGAAACCATGCATACATGTGACACAAAGAAAGACAGCATTAGCCATGGATACACAAAAAGAAGGAAACTACAGTGAAACATAAAAGCTGTTCTTCAAAAGTTGAAGTCATGCAAAGGATAAAACTTTCCATTGTGGTCCTTAGCTGCTCAAGACATTTGGGTGTTTACTACATTACTGACTTAAATGGAAGTTATATTATGCAGATTTTAGTTATTGTAGTTTAACAACATGCAGGAGATGAAATTATTTGCTGATAAATTTAGACAATATATTTTAACATTCTGTTTCCAGCTGTTTTTTTCCTCCGTTGTTAATTAAATCTCTTTGAGTTTGGACTGTTGGTCTTGACCAAAGCAAGGAAAAGTTCACCTTGGGAATTTGTGGCCTTCTGAAATTTTATAGACTAGACTTTTAATTAGTTAATCAAAACTTTTGATACATTAATTGCAAAGGAAAATGTTTGTTGCAGCCCAAATATACAACTACTACAAACATATACTGAAACATTTGGTCATTGCTATTTGTAAAATCGTTATCCACTCGTTCTTAAATTACCACCACAAAGCAGTTGTCCAGTTAGTGAAATTTGAGAATCCTGACATGGTTATGAACCTCAGCAGATCTATTATATCTAAAAATGCCTTTTATCATGATTTCCTTAATATTTCCTCGGTCATGGAATGAACAGAACTGTTTTTCTTTATCTTTCCTTCTTTGTCACCAACAGAAGGTTCGTCCTGACGGTCAGCCCACCAGCTCGGCCCACCCGGCCCGGTTCTCCCCAGACGACAAGTTCTCTCGGCACCGGGTGACGGTGAAGAAACGCTTCAACCTTCTGCTCACCCAGCAGCCCAGGCCTGTTCTGTGAGAGAGAGAGAGTGAGGCGAGCCATGGATGGAGGTCAGACCAATAAATGGAGGGATGAAGGTGAAGCGGAGGACTATAAAGCAAAAAAACACATTCAGGATCCCAAATTATAAAAGTGCTGCCAGGACTTGTCTTCAGTTTCACCCAAAGCTCCTGGTGTTCCGGTGTTGAATATCAGCTGTCGTTGATGTTAAGGGTCGTCTTTTTACGTACCCTAATTTGTTGACCGTCATTTAAGTTTATAATTTTGTTTTCATGCTGAATAAATGTTTGGTTGATGGTTTGCAGTGTGTTGCCTGTGTGTGAAACTGAGATGGATGGACAAATTTAAAGAAGAATAAATGAGTTGATAAAATATTGATGCATGTATGCTCCATACAGAGTGAGGGGTCAGTGGATGGTTTGAGTATAAAAATTATGTGAATCATTATGCTATGGCCTTCAGTCACCAGATCTCAACCCAAATGAACCCCTTGAGGCAATTTCCCACCTTTGTGTTACACTGTCCTCTCCCATCATCCTGAAAACATCAAATGAAAGAATGTTTTGTTAGAAAGGGGTTACTTGTAGGTTTCCTGTCTCCTTATGAAATGAAACCTGTGAAAATATACTGTATTAAGTCTTGTCCATGAGTTGTGAGGAGGATGCAATTGTCTGTCATGATCAAAGTCAAAATCAGATTTTTATGATTAAAGCGGGAAACTTTGCTGCTATATTTAGAAAGCCTGAATATCTTCTGATGAATGTTGACTTCCAACAATTTCCCCACCCGAGTAATGTCATGTATGAGTCAGATTTGAGGAAGCTTTGCACACGTGATTTGCTGATCCTGCGGGGGGGGGGGGGGGGACTTTACTAAAAAACAGTGGAATATTAAATTGTGACTTCAGGTAAACTGCAGCCAATGCTTTCAAACAAAAGGAACACATACACAATACTTACTTTTATGCTTGGGCTCTGTGGTTGTGACACTGGTGGAAGAACTCAAATCCTTTACTTGAGTAAAAGTACCAATACAAAAATTTAAAGATACTCCATTACAAGTAAAAGTCCTGCATTCCCTACTTAGGTAAAACTACATCAGCAAAATATACTCTTAAGTACTACTGCCAAAAAACAGCCATAGTGACTCGCCCGCTTGAGCTACTGCTAAACTACTTCAGCTGCACACTGTATGATAGGTAAGATGGTCCACAATTCAGTCGTTTAGATCATTTTATGGAAACGATGAGCAGCAAAGTTATTAATTTTGATTTACCGGCATGAATTAAAAGGAAAGAAAGGAATAAAAAGGCCTGTCCCTGATATAGGCAGGGTGAGTTCAGTGATTTAAGCAAATAAGGGCTATTAATTGAGGTTTTACCTGAGTAATGTTGAGGTGACACTATTTTGTACTATTAATCTGCTTTAACTTCATATTTCTATTCAAATTGATTTTTATGTCACCAGAACGATTATAAAATGTTTTAAAAAGAAACTGTGATAACTTTGAATCAGAATCTCTTCTGGTTCCATAACAATGCCTGTTTATTCTTGTTGCAAAGAATAATATTGTTTCCCCTTGGTCTCATTTTCCCATAATCCTTGCCAAGGTCAAACTGCACTGAAATAGTGTTGATGGTTTTAGTCAATCAATGGTTTTGTTGGGGTTGAATTTATTATAAAATGCGCTACTTTGGCTCTGATTGCTGCCTCTCTCTGTCTGTAATCACCACTCTGTTGTCTTGCTTAATGTAATTAGTAATTTATTTTCATTTCAAAAACATTCCAAAACACCCCTTGCCATTTCATTCCCTTCAACTCCAGCACGCCCAGGGATCTTGCAACAGAGCCAATCCAGCTCTCATCTTTTAAAGACTACACATCCCATCCAGCTTTGAGCGCTGGTTCGTCGTCACGCATGCGCCAACGGTCACTACGGCAAGGGAAACGGGACCAGTCAGTCGCACTCGCGTGTTTTTCTTTTTTCTTACGTTGAGTCGGTTGGACAAAAAGAAAAAGTGCCGAGAAAAACCGGGCAGAGGATCCAAATCTTTACCAGATGTGACTGAAAACAGCCATATGGTGGATACGTCCTTTGAAGGAAACTTGAGCCAGGTATGCGCTTTACGTGACTAATATGTGGTGTTTGAAAATATCAGCGGGCAGTTGACGCTGTCAGTGAGAGAGAGGGCTGGACGAGTTAATCAGCGGCATGGCTAGCCTCGGGCTAACGTTAGCTGCGGCTAGCTGCACCCAGAGTAGAGAAACAGCCAGCGATCAACTCACCCGATACACCCTCCCTCCGTGTAGCTTACCCAAGTGATGGCTCTGTGCTCTTCGCTATACGCCGCTTGATATAAACGACAGTCACAACTTTGTCAAGAACAGGCTAATTACTCTTTTATACCAGTTTATCCCAAAGGGACTGCGCGCCTTTCTGATTTCAGCCGGTGATAAATGCGTTTTATTTGAACCATGAAACCGCAGCTGCCGCATACCTTTTGTCATGAAAATACTATCCACGGGTTAGGTCGAGACAACATCTGCTCATACTTGTATTATAACGCCGGCTCTCTCTCTCTCTGTGTCTGTGTGCATTAATATCGGGAGGTGACCGGTTCAAGCCAGAATTATAGCTAGCTTAATTGGCTTACAGTAGCAGCTGAGTGGCGGTTAGCAGCCGAGCATCGCAGCATCCACTGGGCTTTCCTTAAGTTGCTGGTTGGGACTAATTAAGAGGATGGTTATCCTAATTGATAAAGGCGTGTTGTTTGGCTGTACGCGTGCCCCTGGATCATATTGATTGCACCCCCCCGCCCCCACCTTGAGATCCGGCAGCTGGGTAAGTTAAGAGAGCAGGACAACATTAGCTCCTTATTTCCACTCGGTACTTCGGGCTGGACAATAAAACAATCATAACTATCGCAATATAACGTTAATTTTCCTCAAAAACAATATAACACATGTTTAATAAATATTTGATTGAATTCATTTGAATCACGAACGAATTAGCACTTTATTTTTTTAATTAAGATGTTAATTTTGTTGAGGGAAAGGGACTGGAAAAAAAGGATTTTACATAATTTTGTAATTGTTTTGACCTCAGATTTATTAAGTGATCCAGTTGTTTGGCATCAAGTGTTTGTTCTGACCATAAAGAAGTTTAAAACCACACTTAATAATAAGTTGGTTTGTTTTTTCAACATCAACTTAGGAGCAAAAATTAGCCTTTAAAGTTGAAGAAATAATGATTTCACATTTATTGTGATAATCATCAATATCGAATTATATGAAATTTTTTATTGTGATAACTTTTTTGGGCCACATCGCCCAGCCTTATTATAGCTGCAAAAATATTTTAGGTATAAGTTCTTGTGCTTTGATGCCATATTTAAAATTAGGGGCTGGCGATTCCCCTCTGATACTTATGCTGGAAATGTTTTAACTTGGTGTTAAATGACAGTCCAACAGGTAAAGTTACAGACATTTAATGATCATTCAATCAACTTTATTTCAGACACGTAGGTCCATATTATATGTTAAACACAGATAAAACTTTAGAGAGTTCATAAAAAACCTATATCATTGATAGTGTTTGAATAATATGTAAATTATCCCAAAAGTCCCCGGTGGAAAGGCAGTTGTTAGTGGTATAGCATATTTGTGTAATTGAACAGAAAAACAGTCCTGCAAGATGCAAAAATAACAGTAAAAAAATAAATAACGAAATCTGAGCTCAGTTTCCAGGAAGAAGAACAAAATGTTCTGCACCTCGCTGTGCTCTAATATTACTATTTCGACCGAAAGTGGACAGAAAGTGAAAACTTAAGGTTTTGTAGTTGCCAAATCTGCTGTTACAGCACTACTATGGTACATTACATTTACATTTATTCATTTAGCTGACGCTTTTATCCAAAGCGACTTACAATTGCTATACATTTCAGAGGTCGCAAGCCTCTTGGAGAAGAGCCCGGATTCAAGCATTTCTCTCCTCCTTTATCGTTGCTGTCTCTCCTCTGCCCATCTCTGAACGTGGACAGACAAAGCGTGTGAGGTGTGCAGCTTTAGAAAACAAGGACATGTGCCGTGTCTCTGCATGCAGAGGGAGAGAAAACAGCCAGCAGCTACCAGCACAACCGGTTGGAACTGCTCTCCTTTTAATAATTAAATTATGAACTGGGTTAAGAGAACCGCTATACCCACCTGTCATGTCATTTCTTTTCCCAAGAGGCAGGAATACATTGCATTGTTGACTTTATACGTAGTGTGCCTTGCAGGTACGAACAGTGTGGTTTGTACTGGTTATTGTTTTACAGCTCCTTCATTTAGAGTGATGTCATGTTGATGAGGAAGGATCATTTTTCCAGACTTATTTTAACTTGCATAAGTCACTAGAAAGATGCATGAGCATCCATTGAGTGCTTAAGAGAAACAATTAATATTGATCAGAAGTGAATAAAATAAATCTAGTGTGTAATATCCAGAGTAGTCACTTTTTAATGACCTTTTACTTTGTAGAAAGGCATGTTGAAGCCTGCTGATTTTACAGGGCAAGCTTTGTAAAACCGTGTGAAACTGATTATCTTTTAAGTAAACACATTCCACAAATGCTGTTTGGAGATAACTATTACAGCTACGAGCTTTGGTCAAAATCTGAAAAACAGACTACATTTATATAAAGATAAGGGCACCATTTGCTAAATCAAATGTAGCTTACTTATATTTTAAGACGCTGTTTGCTGTATAAACTCATGTCTGAATTTTCTTTCTCTCTCTATCTCACTCATTTCCCTCCCATCATCTTCCTTTCTGTGCTGATGACTTTTCCACCCTGGCATCCCCGACCCTCGCTGTGACCGCTGATGGGTGCTATCAGTAGAAGGGCATTTTTTTATCTCCAGTGTGCACGGCAGAAATATTTTAGTTGTTTACTTGAGAGACGGCACAGAGAAAGACGAGTATAACACACTGCTATACTGAGCCACAGTCCTGATCCATAGGGACCAAGACATAGTGGAGGTAGAAAAGATACTGTACAAAGAGCAGAAACATCATTTCAGTGCTGTCTGATGGGAAGATGGGGGGAAAAATATAGCTTGAAATTACAAGAATAAAAAGCCTAATTTCTTTGTGTATTTGTGCTTCTCATCTCCAATAGCTGACTGAAACCAGTAAACTACACGTTCACACATCTATAGAAAAGGAATTTGGACTTGTGTGTCACTCCCTGTTATAAATTCACCATATTTTAAACAGAATCAGAAAGATTAGTGACACAGGAAGAGGCCTGTTGTTGTAGTTTCTCCTTCACATGCCTGCTGGCAGCCAACCACTTTGCTTCAATGGAGAATTGCAGCAGCAAAAGAACAAATTGTAGAGGCCGCCCTTACCTCAGCATCACCTGGGAGATAGCCTAGCTTAGCGCAGCCCCGCTAGCTAGTCCGTGACCCCTCCCCAACCCCGTCTCTCTCCCTCTGTGTCACACACAACACCCCTGCCTTCCCCCTTATACTTTTTCCCAAGCAAGTTGACATGGCATCAGTGCGCTTCACGGTGACACCCACCAAGGCGGAGGACCTCCCGGGGCTGTCCGACACGTCGCCTGACATCAGCTCCCGCTCCGGCGCCCGCGTGCGCTTTGGCTCCAGGGAGAGCGTCAATCGAAGTGACCCGCTCAGCGATGCGTCGGGAGGCGGGACAGGAGGAGGAGGAGGGGGCGACACGTCGGAGCTCAGCAGTGTGGATCAAGGTGAAGAACACATCCCATCCCACAACACCTCTCATAAAGCGTTTTCACACTTTTAATAGAAACAGACTGATTGAAGTGGAGAAATAAAAGCCAGACCACACAGCTAGTCTGCACACCAACCTGTCACTCTGTTGTGTCTAATCCCACTTCTTACGTTGCTACAGACAGTGTGTTATCCATATGTTTGGGAGATGTCAGCGAGCCACTCCTCCATCATGACACGTTGGCTCAGAGAAAAACATGTAATGTCACGCCTTCCTGAACTTATCCTGACAAAATCCTCCATTTAGCAAAAGGCAATTGCAGTTGGGGAAAAATCTCCCGGAAACAGAATGCGTTGTTGCATCTGCTTTTAGATCTTTTGGGTCTTATGTCAGATTGTTGACGCCTTTCTACTCTTTTCGACCGCTCAAAGCGCTTTTACACTGCATTCACCATTCGCACACTGAGCCTAAGTGCTCAAACAGAAACTAACATTCATACACTGGCGGAACAGCTGCCAGGGGCAATTCGGGGTTCAGTATCTTGCCCAAGGACCCTATTAACAGCCAACCCGCTCTACCTCCTGAGCCACAGCCACCCAAATTAATGCTACTATATTAACATGCAATATTGTTGGTGAGAAATGACGAGACTAAAATATGTCATAAAATCAAAACGTTAATAAAATCTTTCTTTTTGTCAGTATAATGAGGAGACAAAATACTACAGGCCACATTTTGTCCCTCTGAAGTTTAACTCGAGCAATGTGTTCATTGAGCGGTATTATTTTCTTCCTGCGCTTGGAATGCTGGCCAACCGGGGCGACGCCTGGTGCGTGAAGAAAACATTACTGTACTGTGGAGCATGTGAACTCTGGTGATGAACACAACATGCTCGGGAGAAAGAGGTGCTTAAATATTTGGACAAAAAAACAGAGTGCCTAATTATATCGGACGGCAAGCAATGTGGTTATAAAAGTTTTGGGAAAAACACTACGAACTTGAAGCGGCATGCCAAGGTTAACCACCTGGGAATTGAGTTAAGTTAATGTCTCCTTTGCAATAAAAATGAGAACAAAGCTAGCATTCAAATTTTACAAAACAATTTATCTATATGTGAGATGAGTGAAATAAAAACTAAAATGATAAATATCTATTTTGGTTAGAGCAGATTGATCAAAATGCTAATCAAAATTATGCTAATGAGTTAGAAAAGACTAAAATGATTAATGACTAAAACTAGACTAAAATACTTTTGATTTTCTTTTGACTAAAATACAAAGACTTTTATTCAACTAAAACTTGATTTAAGAAATAGTACACAGTGGACTAAATATGACAAAAACTGACACAGGACTAAGACTAAATTGATTAAGACTAAAATGGCTGACAAAATTAACACTATTCGAAACCGCCTACTATACTAGTAGTATGTACCGATTTGGCCCAGATGTAGAATGCAAACAAAAGCAAAATCTGCAGTATGCCAAAAATACCCGGATGGCGTACTGATTCGAGAGAAATTCTCCAGGATGCATCAGACCAGTCTACCTCGCATAATGCAAAGCGCTGGACCTGTAACAACAACAACCCGTCTTTTCTTTAGAGGACAACAACAGAACTTGTTTTACAATTTTCATAGGCTGTTTCATCACTAAATCCACTTCTAACAAGTTTTGAGGTGAGAAATCAACTGTGTAGATTTTAAATATCGGCATTTTTAGGGAAATTGTTGACAAATCGAGAATGTGCTCGAACGTTTGTGGCAGGGTTAGCTAACGAGCCGCCCAGTCAGCTCACGGAGCCCCCTGGTCCTCACGCCAGCTCACGGAGCTCACAGCCACACAGACCTCTGCAGCCAACGCAGCAGATGAGTCCAGCAACAACTTGAGAGGAAAGACCCGCAGCTGTGAGACAGTTTAAATGTTCGTACCGCTGTTATTCTGTCATTACTTTCTGAGAAATGTTGTAATGTTAAATAAAGATTTGTGTAACTTAAAAGCACTTTGATTAAAAAAGAAACAAAACAATAATAGTGGAATGAAATGGGACTGTTGTCGCTTTATTATTATCATTATTCTAAATAGACATTTTTAGTGTAATGTTACAGTTGTGGTTATAGCACTTGCTTTTTATTTGCTCTTATTTTATATAATTCTTATTTATGCACCAATATACCGAAGCAAACATCTGCTACAGATCAGCTGCAGCCTTGTTCTCATACATAAGATTTTAAAAAAGAATGAGTTTTAAGTGTACTTACATTTATATTCGTCTTATTGTTCCGATTTTGAAAACCGGAAACTAGCAAAGCCTGGTGTAGCATGCTGCAAAATAAATCTATTTAACAGTTTCATACTACATACTATACCTCATACAGTATGCAGTACATACTACATACTGCTGTTGGCAGTAGTATGTAGTAGGCGGTTCTGATTACAGCCTAATTGTAGGTTGTGTAAGGGTGTTTGGCCCATTCACCAACACAGTCAGCAGTAGAAGCAGCAGTAGTGGGTGTGACACAAGACTCACGAAAAAACCAATCACAGTGTTTATTTACTATAACATCCGGGAAGAAAACCCCCTGCGTCACATGCGTACAATTTAGTGGCAGCAACATGCTTTCTTTTTTCATGATGTTATTTCAAGTAGTGAGTAAGTACTAAAATAAGGCAGAGAATGAAGATGAATTAGGGATGCACCCAATGTTCAGCCACCAAAAATAATTGGCTGAAAATGGCACAAAATAGCACTTTTGGTGTTCGTTCTAACAAGTCAAAAGACCGAACAATTACGTTGACATGTCGGCAGTGTGGACGCATTTTAAAGTGTCAGAGAAAGACGCAAAAATCCCCGTTTGCAGACACTGTTCTGCTGAATTTTGTCCTTGCACATCCGCTCCATCTGTGGCAGACTTCTTAGAAAAGGCAACCAACGGTCTGACCCGCTTTGAGTGTTTCTGTCACTCGATGGTGAGAAGGCGATTAAGCTAGCTGCATCTAAATTTGCAGTGCACACGTATTAAAGCCTTTATGGTAAATCCACTGAAACGGACCAGTGCGAGCTGTCAGGCAAGTTAGCGACTTTATCCATGTTGTGTGTGAACTCTTGGCAGTTGTTCAGCAATAAAACCCCCACGAGGAAAAGTGTTGCTAGGATAAAATTCGTGTTTGGTCTGAAAGCACAGTTAGAAAATGCAGGGCTCCAGTTAAAGCCCGTAGGGTAACTCACCGAATTCATAGCAACAGGCAAGAAATGTTGGGATGTAGTTGTCTCGAATTTTATTTTTATTATTTTTTTTAAATCTCAGGGCGGGCCCACACCGTCAGACTCTAAAAATCCCTGCCCTATAGAAGTTGTGGTAGTATACAAAAATCATAGGTCCTCAGGCTTGTGGTGAACAGGCATTATGCAAATTGCTGACATTACCTCACGTGGTTTCAAGGTTTTTCTGAATTTCAGCCCTTTGCTGCCATTTAGAGCTTTAACTCACATTTACATGTCCATTTTAGTTCAAACACATTTAACACACTTACACACTGTGCCATTCATTAGTTACAGTTTGAACATAGACATCACACACATCCACTGTAATATCAGTTAGTTAGTACTTTGTTAGTACAGGCAGCCCCCTGTTACAGTACACTGGCTCAGTGACTCATGGCTTGTGTATTTGTAGAGGTGGTCTAGGAGCGCAAGGCACTTCACTTAAAACTGATGCTGGATTCCCACACAGTAGAGTCCCAGGAGGGAGCCAGTCAGAGAGGTTCCCATTGGCTAGGAATATATTTAAACTTACACGGTTTCAGACAGCCCTACATCCAAAATTTTTCGGTTTTTATGGGAAGTAAAAAGAGAAGTGCTCTTTTTAGACCTATCCCCATGCGTGTCTCGAGTTTGAAAATGTGTTTTGTGGCTCTCTGGGTCACAGAGCTCTCAGTTTGTTTTTGTGTTTTTAAAAGTGAGAGCTGGACTGTAGGATGCTTCCTCTAAGAGGGTCTACAGCATACGTAACTACAGTTCAGGTGAATGCACTCAGCAGACGGTTAGAACAGAAAGAGGACTGTAACGTAAGCCTATTGTGGTCAAAGTTTAGGTTTCACTTCCTCCACTGCTGTTCTCAGCCCACCTACGAACTAGAAACATTGATTCATTTCTTTACTAAATGGTAGCTGACAGCTGAAACCTTTTCACATAGACTCAGCTTTAACACGTACAGAGTAACATCTAGTCCAGTTTGATATGAAATCATGTGGGAATCCAGATGAATGGAGGAAAATGGTAAATGGTTTTCTCCTGACTGCTGTGACTGTGCGGTTGTCATGTGGAGTGCAGTAATTCACTTTCCAAAAGTGTGTAAGAATAGCTGCGCTAATTCACAGGCTCAACACGGGGGTTAGAACAGTGGAGAGATGTAACTGTATTAGCTGCGCTGATCCACTTAAGCAGTTACATAGTAGTAAGGATGCCCCACGTTGTTTAATAAGCTTCCATAAATAGAAATCGAGACGGTTAATCCGATTGAGTTTCGATCAGGCTGCGTGAGGCTGCGTTTGTTTATGCAGAGAAACAAAGAGGGAGACGGCCGGAGACAGCTACGCAGCTTTTGTCTCACCTGAAATAGAAAAACAGGCATGCTGACAAAAAAAGCCGTTGTTGAAGTGAATGAGTCAAGATGTTGAAAGGCGATGAAAATGGCGGGGTGGAGAGGCAGGAGAGAACGGAGAGTTGTGTTAAGGAAGGTCAAATGCTCTGTGATGCATTATTTTGACACGAATAAAGTTAGCTATTGATTTTAATGTGCTTAAAGTTTGTTCCACAATCCCTGCAGGGAGATCTCATTTCATCCTAGCCTCTTACCCTAACCTTCACCATCACAACTACATGCCTAACCTGAAGCCTAAAACCAAGTAATCCTTAACACGAGTCCCCACGGTTTATTGTGCATTCAGGTTAAAGTCCCTGTCAAGATATAAGAACATGAAACACACACACACACACACACACACACTCACACACTCACACACTCACACCTGGCTCCAGTAGCTTTCTGCTTCACTGGCTGCTCACACAAAGGCATCATACTGTGGTGATCTCAGGTGGAGGACTTCTCTTGGGGAACACACACACAGATAGACAGCTGGGTTTAAGCTGTTTGTGAACGCTGCAGTTCAACAGTTTAGGAATTTACAGAGGACAGGATGGTTATTTTTATCTGTGGTAAGAACACAAAGTTGACTCTGGGTAGTTTTAGGTGTGCTTTGTTTGGTTTTAATCAAATTAGGACTGCCACAAATGATTATCTTCTATCACACCTTCCCAAAAAACACAAGGTGGCGCCTACAAATTCCTTGTTTTGTCTGAGCAAAAGTCCAAAACCCAAAGATATTCAGTCAACAATCATAGAAGACTAAAGAAACTTGAAAATATTAACATCTGAGATCTTAGATCTGGAGTATTTTCAAGACCGGGACTAAAGATAATTTTCATTATCGACAAATCTGACAATTTTTTTTTTTTTTCTCGATTTAACAGTTTGGTCTAAAAAATGGCAGAAAACAGCATAAAAATCATTATTTCGCAGAGCCCAAGGGTATGTCTTCATGTGTCTTGTTTTGTCTGACCAGCTAATTGTTAACAGCTCTACATCAAATCACCAAAATTAGCACCGTCGTCAGTGCGTCAGCTCTCCAGTTTAGAAGGACTGTTGGGATGTATTGTTGGTGAGGAAGTCAGCGTTGTCAGACAGGCTGAACAGTTAGGAGGTGTTCATTACATGCTGTAGTCGTCTTTCTGACTCCAGACTGTCCTAATAAACAGGTCGAGGATGCCGGGGGGAGGGAGGGGGGGTCTGAGTGTACAAGGGTACACCATAAAAATGTCGTAAAGGATCAGCCAATCAAAATGTTTGAACAAAAGGCCTGATTAGCTTGTTAGTTTATCTTTCCCTACCACATCAGTGCGCTTTAGTCTTACTGAACAGGCAAGTTGTTTTCACTGGTCTGAAGTCAGATTCACACTTGCTATTTTTGGGTCAAATAAAGGGATGGGAAGTTGCCACCCACCAGCCAAATGCTGTTCTTTACATGGCTATTGACTTTTTCTCAGTTTGTAATCAGCCGATTGTTTGCTCAAAAAAATGTTGTTTGCTGGAGAGAGAGTGAAAGCTGCTGATGCATGTTGGGATTTACCAGCTAGTGTGTCATGCAGCTTTCTGTCTTGATTATATAAGTATTCATCATTCATGGCACTTCTTTTACATCCTCATCACAGGTTATGGAGTAGTTCGGCCAGTTTGAAGCATTTTTACAGGCCTAAAGAGTTGAAAGTATCCAGTATTCACAAGGAAAAAAGTAAAACATTTGAAGAAACAAACTGTTTTGTGTAACAGGTTTTTCCTCCTTTTAATCATCTGGTGATAATTATCATGGGACCGCCCACTGGTGCAACAACAGCTAACCCCTAACAGTGTGAAATCCACACAGTAAAGTGTTTCTTTAAATAAAATCAATCAAAATCAATTTGCACTGTGTCTGCTGTAACACATAATTGTTGGATATTAATATTTGCTTTTAATCACAGGTCAAACTATAGAGATATGTGAAGCGCTGCAACAAAGAGCCCAACCTAGATTTTAAGTCAACATTACATGTTTGTTTTATCCCGTCATGTTTAAGTGTCCTTCTGTTAAATGTGACGTTTGTTTGAATGTAACAGCGTTTGGCCGTTGTCTGCCGTCACTAGCGTGACTGTGGCGGAGCAGAGAGGGAAGTGATGTTGCTGACTCAGGTGCTGCAGATGCAGAGGTCTCTGCTGACTGAGGCGGAACTGAACTGGCGACATGGTGGCTATTTCATCAAACTCTGTGTGTGGGGAGAAAGTGTGAATTAATGTCTGAGATTGCAACTTGACCCCACCAAGCTATAGTGACGGTGCTTAAAACTGTGTTCAAGGATAGGTTTACAATTTTTTTAAGTGTGGTCAGGTGCCCATATAAACATCTGAAACAGAAAATGTTTGGTCCTAAAAATAGTTTTAAAGTCATGGAAATCCACTGGTCAAAATGCATTTTAGTTCAGCTGTATTTTGCGGGCTTTAATCGTTCTGTTCCTACTGGACATTAAAAAATCCCTTTAATTTACTTGATGTGGGACAAAATCCACAGTCCTTGTTCTGTGCCAAATTACATTTTATTTGTGTTTCTATCCCAACAATGAAACGCTGTCCAGGGAAACACAAAGAGGGAATATTGTATCGCTTATATCAAAAGCACATTAAGAAATGATCACTAAATATCCAGTATGGGGAGGGGAGGGGGGGGGGTGATTTACAGCAGACTGAAACATTTTGAACTTCTTCTTTAAAGATGTTTTTTTCCTGCTTTCCTTTATTTATCGTCTTTGTGTCCAGGTGATGGAAATTCCAAAATCTCCAGTGTGTACATCAACAACACTCACGGGATGGATGACGATGACTTCTATGACAGAAACTTGGCCTTATTTGAGGTTCGACACACAAATCTGATAGAACTGTTATCCGATGAAAGCACATTATAAAATGTTAAATATTATAAATGTTCTGTAAACTTTGGTTTGCTTTTTGCATCGTTCCTAAAAATGTTTCTTGGTGGCTGTTTTTCTGCCAAAGTGTCTGCTAAACTAGAGCCAAAAATAAACCAGCGTTTGGCTGGCGGGTGCAGATGATTTCAGTTTTTATAGATTTAGAATTTTCCTGGGAACAACTTGTCTTCTGTCTCCCACTTTCTTTAACAAGTCATTCAAAAACGCCTCTTCTCGCCTCAATTTCCTGTTCTTTTACATCTTATCTGTTGCCTTCCTCTGTGCTTTTCATCCCTTTCCTGTATCGTTCTTCCTCTTCACTCCAATTATTCTCACTGTGCTTCTCTGTTATTTCCAAACCCTGTCTTTGCCTTTTTTCTTCTTTCTCCCTGGCTATTTTATCCCCCCTTCCCTTCTCTCTATTTTCCTTCGCCTGCTGTCCACCTCTATTGTTTCTCTTTCCACCCTATTTCTGCCTTTGCAATCTCCCTCCAACACCTTTTATTCTCCTCTCCTCTTTCTCTTACCACCTCCCCCCTTTCCCTCTGTTCTTTTCACACCACAGGAGGAGATGGACACCCGGCCAAAGGTGTCTTCTCTGCTCAGTCGCCTGGCCAACTACACCAACCTAACGCAGGGGGCCAAGGAACACGAGGAGGCCGAGAGCATCGGCGAGAAGAAGAAAGCCAGCAAGGTATACCAGACTCTGTGTACCTAACTCACCTGACAAGGGGAATTTATTGTGCAGTGAAAACGCCTATAAAATTACAGTAAAGCACAAAGCAAACAAAGGTGCACCTACAGTCTCTTTTATGTGTATGTGTGTGTGTGTATATATATGAATTTATTAGATCTCTATTGGTAGAAATAAATACTTTGTAAGATTTAACAAATCTTCTCAGTGTAGCACTGTGCTACCTGCAAAAAAGCTAAAATATGCTGTTACTCATTCACCCATTCATAGTATGTGATCCCAAATGTATTTAGTCTCGTTGTTTCATGTTCTTATTCTACAGCAATCATAACCATGATGATAATCAGTAAGAAATGTCCTTAGGTAACTTTTATAAAGTTTCCAGCTGTCATGCACTAACTGAAATAACATGATGCAATAAAAATATGGTGGGTGGTGATGGTTCAGTGGATAAGACATGTATTGTGTGACACATGCTAGGTTCAATTCCCCACTGCGACACATCCACCAATGTGTCCCTGAGCAAGACACTTAACCCCTAGTTGCCCCAGAGGCCTGCGACCTCTGACATGTATAGCAATTGTAAGTCGCTTTGGATAAAAGTGCCAGCTAAATGAATAAATGTAAATGTAATGTAAAAAAGAGAGAAATGAAACAGACAGATGGCCTTTGAGTTATTGCCCTTCACAAGTGATAGATCGTCCACTGTTCGCCCTCTTGACTACCCGTCTGAAAGTGAAAGTACTGTAGGATGTGACCTTGATCTGCACTGCAGTGCATGCTGATAAGGAGCTGGCTGGACTAGATAAGACAGTTTGTTGTGGTGGTTCGGAGTAATTTACTATTTCACCCTGTTCTGATTACACGTTTTCAGTACTGGACACATTTGCCAACAGACTGCTGGCAAAGTTAAACCAAAACATGTTTAATCCTCCCTTCTGGTCACACTGTGTGTTCAGTAGAAGCATTTACATAAGTCCTGTTCATCAGGATGGTGTAGTGCGGAGATTCCCTACCAGGGGGGTACTTCTGCTGTTGCAGTGGGGTCATTATTGTGTAAAAAAATAAAACTATGATGAAAGAGTGGTGGTATGTCACACAGGAGAGGCTGGGACCCACTGAGGTAGTTTGTGCCAATGTACTGCGTTTCTCTCAGTTTACCTGAAAGAGAAAGAAAAAGGGAATGTTTTTGGTCTTCTTTTGCTGAGAATCAATTAAACTGATATTTGTTCCACCTCTCTGCTGATTCTATCTTCCAGTCGCCACAGATGGGGACGTTTATGGGTGTTTACCTACCTTGCCTCCAGAACATCTTTGGCGTCATCCTGTTCCTGCGGTTGACCTGGGTGGTGGGGTCTGCTGGGGTGCTGCAGGGCCTCTGTATTGTCTTCATATGCTGTTGCTGTGTGAGTATTTGAGGGTCCAGATATAGACGGGCACAGTGAGACAAAAATAAAAAACTCTAAATGTACTAAAACTTTTCTGTCTCCCTGCAGACGTTGTTGACTGCGATATCGATGAGTGCAATCGCCACTAATGGAGTTGTACCAGGTACTCCACGACCTTTCAGTCTTTCATTTTCATCCTTTCCAAACACGTGGATGAAATGGCACTGGTGTGCTGTGGTAATCTCTTCCACACTCTCATGAAGCTCCCCTTAAACTCCTGGCCATGGCTGTAATATACTCCACACCAGTGTATTAACTTGAATGAGTTTTGACTACAAGTGTCTGCCAAAAAGCAAAAGTTTCATCTTTTTATAAATAGGTAATTAATTGGAAGCAAATGATTAGAAAATTAATTGATACTCGATTGACCAACTAGTGGATTATTATTTTAACCATTAGGTTTATTATCATGTAAACACAGTTGGTATTTTGTACAAATATAAAATGAAATTTGGTCACTGATCAACTCCTATTATAATTGATTACTGCGGAGCACTGTGCACTCCAGACGTCATTAAAATTAATGACCTGAAAATGACTGGTAACGTTAAAGTCACCTCACCTCCCCTAGAGAGAGAAATCCAGTCCAAATGTGGCTTTAGGCTACGTTCAGACTGCAGGTCAAAGTGACCCATTCAGATTTTTTTGCTCATACGTGACTCGGATCATTTTGTTTTTGTTTTTTTTAACAGTGTGAACAGCCCAAGTCTGATCTTTTCCAGATCAGATTTGGGCCACTTTCATATGTGGTCCAAATCAGATACAGGTTTATGTTTTTGAAATGCGACCTCAGTCTGGACAGTCAGATTGGAATTAGTGCGACTCTCGTGTCACTTTAGAGCGACCGTCGTCATAATTCCGCACTAGCAGAAGACGCAGCGAACGCAATCGCCACCCTCCCGTTCATTTCCTCTCTCCCGGTTTCCTCTCCGGGCTGGAATTCTCTTGATTTCTCCCGATTTTATGATAAAAGTTCACAACTTTGCGTCCTTTTCACTGCCATTATTACAGTTTCAAAAACTCTTATTTGACGGACACCAGCTTTGCGTCGAGTCCTGCCCCCTCCTCTGCCTCTGATTGGCTAACCCTAACCCCACGCTAATCCTAACCTTAACCAGCCCTAACCCAGAGCCTTTGAACTAGAATAATCTTAACAGCTCTGTCCTAACCAATATAAGCACTAACCAATCAGAGGCAGAGTAAAGCGTGGTCTCCATATTTATATCCGTACGACATCGTGCTGTGTGTGATGTATTGTTCTTTTGCGCATGCGGGCCTCTTTCAGGTCACGGCCAGTTCACAGTGGAGTCTGATATGGGCCACATTTAAAGAAATAATGTGAACAGTCAATCAAAAAATCGGATCTGGGCATTAAATCGGAATTTAGCATTAAGGCTTGCAGTGTGAATGTAGCTTCAGTCATAAACGGCTAGATAGACTTTTGCATGCTGACATCATTTGTATCAGTGTCAACAGCACTTTGTCTAATTATGTGCTTTACTGTAAAATAGGTTCAGACGACCTGATAGTTCAGCAGTGATATTTCTAGAAAATGCAGAGGCGAGGACAAATGCAAATGTAGCCAACGTCTTGATAATGAAACAATTCAGCTTCTATTTGACTCTTCACAGCTAGGTGAAGATTATTCCCACAGTAACTAAACTTTTATGGCCACCATTTTGAGTTTTCTCAGCCTAGTGACCTCTGTGGAAGTCCACATGAATTTTCCAGGTTGTTTCCTCTCAGTTTTCCTGCTCGTCTTCCAGCTATGGCGGCACTGATGAAGTCCATTTTTCTAATGAGTGTTATTTCTGTTTATCCTGTCTCTCCCTCTGTCTACCTCTCCCTGTCTGTCTGTACACACATTAAAAAAACCCAGGATGTTTATCCGCCATTGACTGAAACGCCTCTTGACGAATATCCCAAATGTCAAAGTAGTGTGCTATTTCCACTAGCATGTGACATTTTGATAATTGAATGTAGACTGAAAACCCTCGGTAACATAGAGAATTAATCTAACATGTCTTGTTTGGCGTCGGACATTTCATCTCATCCCGTCTGTTTCTCACCTGAACAGCTTCAGGCTCTCATGCATTTCTCACCATCTACTCTCAGATGGTAGTTTAATCCTGGATGGATGTGGTTTACGGTGGTTAATCAAAGGTGTTTGGATTCCCAAATACAAGCTCAGCGCTACATTTTTTAAATTCAGAGACATATCTGTAGAAAGCTTTCCAGAGACAGTTTTTGTAGCATGTTTTCTAAGATCGAGAACTTCCCAGTAGCAGTTCATTCTTTCAGGTTACCTATTACATGTGTTTAAACCGACAACATCACATTCATATGCTTATTTTACATTCATTTTGGTGGTTGTCCAACAAAATGTACAGGAGCTATGTGTGTGCTTGTAAATAGAGGGTTGCATTTTGGAAACCAAATACTGAATTCTGAGCGGACAGTCAATAGTGCATTTTTAGTTTCTCTTACTGTATGATTTTCCCCATGTGTCCTGTTTTATAACTGGTTCAAACTGTATCAGCAAATTACTTTTACTGCTTATTTAGCTCACTTGGAGTACGACTTGCATAGTAAAATGCTGTTGGGCAGCACAATTCTGGCTGGGATTTATTTAAATGTTTCTAAACGAGTGCCAATACTCGAGTCTCGGCACCAAAGCAACACTTTCTTGACCTCTGAATTGTTGCACACATCTACTGTTTGTTCAGTGTTTCAAATGAGTCTGGTGTTTTGCTCATTGATTGCCATGCTCCCCAGAAACCATCAGTCAGAGCTTAGTTAGCTGGATTCAGAATGGCATCCTCCTACAGCTAGCTAGCTATCAAGCGTGGATGAGATTGTCGCAGTTATCCAGGCTGTTGTAAGCAGACTTTCAATAACAACTCTTAAATCAGCACATTTCTTGATTTTTGTCAAATACATGAAGTCAGCTTCTTCTAGCTGAAACTGATGGAAATGTCCCTGGTTACTAAATAAAATAATCCCCCTTCTTGCCTAACATGAAAAAAATGTCGGGCTGAATGGGGGGAAGATAAATGAAATGGCAATTCAGTTTGATTGTCAGGCTACTTTTTTGATACCTGACTTCTGAGAAAAAAAGTTTTTTTTTCATATAGGACAAGAAGCCAAAGTTTTAAAACGTTAAAGTTTTAAACTCAAGCAGCCGCAGCGGATTTTCTCCTGAATGAAATGGCTACAGATGGCAACACTTTGATGAAGGTTTTCAGTTCTGTCAGTTTTTGATACTTGGTCACATACAGACGTTTTGGTTGTTACTAAAAAAGTTGTTGAGGTCTGACACCCAGCCGTAAAGTCAGTCAAGACTTTACATTGGATGCAGTAAACGCAACTCAGGCTTGTACTTCGAGTGAGGCAAAACATTTGCAGATACTATTTGACCAAAGATCTGTCTTCTTCCTCTAATGTGTCATGTAGAAAATTATGCTTACTTCTTCAAGCATAGGATGACTTCTCTCATCAACTGTCCTCTTTTCTCTCTCTCTTTACCTCCTAACATCATAATGTTACTAACACCCATCCCTCTCTCTCTTTTTTTTTTGTCCTATCTTACCTTCTTGTCCATCATCGCTCTGACTTTCTTTATAAATCCTACCTTCCCCCTCTTTTTACAAATCCTCTACCACCCAATTTCCCCTCTCCCTTTCTGCCTCTCCATTTCCATTTCTTCCAACCCTGATGTACAACCTGCACCCCACTCTCTCTCTCTCTCTCGCTCCCTCTCTCCTCTCCCTCCAGCGGGAGGCGCCTACTTCATGATCAGTCGCTCTCTGGGTCCAGAGTTTGGGGGGGCGGTGGGCCTGTGTTTCTACTTGGGCACCACCTTCGCTGGAGCCATGTACATCCTGGGAGCCATCGAGATCCTTCTGGTAGGTTTTGGCTTCATCATTATCATCATTACTATCTTCACCCCTTTGTCCAGGGTTTCGTCTTTACTTTTAATTTAATGTAGCAGTGAAACTAAAACAGTCGGTGTGTCAGTGCTTCTCACTTTTTTAAATATTGTAATATCAATGTTAGTGCTGGGCAACAATTAAAATTTGTATCACCATTAATCGCATGATTTTCGCAAAATTGAATATTGAATTCTTACTTTTAATTAAATGTTAAAAATGTACTGCTATATACACAAGTGTAATAACATGTGGTTTGCAAACACTTTAAACAAATAAGGTGCTTTTTACCAGCAGTATTCACTTTACACATTAGCAATAAAATATTTCTTGTAAATCTCAACTTAAACATTAATGTAATCAAATCAAACATAAAAACAAAGCTATTTGCCACTGCCAGGGCCTTGCCTTTATCTAGCTTGTTAAAACAAGTTGCCATCAGAGTGCAGTTTTCTTGTTTGTGAGGTACGTGTTGAGTATTATCCATCCATCGTCAATTCGGTTGAAACTTGAGTTTAGCAAAGTGCCCTATAAATAGATCATTTTAAATAGATTTATTAGCAGATGCTAATGTCTGAAAGTTTTTCTGAACAGGTATCAGCAGAAACATTGTTCTTTTATCAGGGAGCAGCAGAAACAGTCTATGTTCAGTAGCAAGTTTCCCTGTTAGAGAGAGGTGAAGTGCTCGTCTCACGCACACGTCCGCCCGCTGCCGAAGCTGAATTGTCTTGAACTTTTTTGTATGTGACGTGGAGCACAAATCATTGGAAGAGAGACTGATTCTCGCTATTTGTGAGTTTCCAGAATCTATTACTGTTTAACTAAATAGGACATCAACAGGAGGGAATTCGCATGGCAGAGCTGCAAAACTAGATGAAGGCCTATGAAGTAAAGTTATGTAGCCTATAATTTTAACTAGGCTACAGCTGTGTAGCGCACAGAAGCCGTTACCATGGTTACTATCTATAGAGTGCCAGCCGTTTACTCGCAGAGCGCTGTCTTCCTTTCTGTTCGCCTGAGGAGCGCAGAGCAACCCCGTGGGGCCAAGCGCTTGTCTTCCTTCTCCCACACGCTGCATCCAGCGTAGTCTGCCGAAGCCTCCCTCCGCTGCTTGTTTGGGTGATTTGCAGGCTGATCAACATGGTTTGACTGTATTTGTATTCAGAGCCAGTGAGCAACAGACTTTCAAATAATAATCATATTAATAAAAACTGTTAATGTGAGATAAAATAATTGTCGGTGTTAACTAATTAATACATCAACGCAATGATAACACGTTAACTTGCCCAGCCCTAATCACTATATTCAGGGATTTAAATGGTATCATGAGAATAATGAAACTGTCCTGCTAAAATATGGTAAAATTACTTCATGTTGGCAAGTTACTGACTACTTAATCATATTGATGTCTCTAACATAACAATTATCTCTGTTGCGTTTTGTCCCTGTCACCTCCCTCCTCCAGATGTACATCGCACCTAAGGCAGCCATTTTTGTGGCAAAGTACCCTGAAGGCGAAGGGGCGGCCATGTTGAACAACATGCGGGTCTACGGCTCCATCTGTCTACTCCTGATGTCCCTGCTCGTCTTCGTGGGCGTGAAGTACGTCAACAAACTGGCCTCCATCTTCTTGGCCTGCGTCATCATCTCCATCGCTTCCATCTACATCGGAGCACTGGTCTCCGCCTTCAAACCGCCAGATTTCCCGTAAGTGGTGATTTCCAAAACTACAGAGCTGACCTTTACCTCCCACAGTGTTGACTGAACGATGGGCTTCAATCCACAGCGTGTGCATGCTGGGAAACAGAACCATCAGCGGCCATGAGATTGACAAGTGTGCGAAAACCATCCCGCCGCCGATCAAACAGCCAGTTGAGAGAGTTGAGGCAAACTTCACAGTTATTGAAGGTGGGTAGCGTTTTTTACTTGAATCACGAGGAGTATAAGTGCATCCTAGTCATACTCGTCCTCTCAGTTACACCTGTTCAGTTTTTTGTTGACACATTGAATTCCTCCCATTAGGAAACAGCACTGTGGACCCGATCTTTGACCCCAGCCCTGCTCCTGTTCTGGTGGAGAGGACCACAAATCTGTGGAAGCTGTTTTGTCAGAGCCCAGAACTCAACGCCTCCTGTGACGAATACTTCAAGTCTAACAATTTTTCCGAGATTGAAGGGATCCCCGGTCTGGCCAGTGGGATAATTTCAGGTGAAACGGTCATGTGCTTTCATGCCAGCAGTCCTACAAAGGAAATTGCCTTGATTGAAAGTTTTAAAATTCTTCCTCATTTGGCTCCTTTCATTCACTATAAACAATTATAGATATTATAAATAATTTTGAGGAATCGCATTAAAGTTTAGTTCAGCTTAGACCGGAACCGTGTCCAGTATACACCCTGCTTTCCATGTCCGTTTTGGGAGTATATTCAGTATTAATATAAAATTGCTTTTATTAAACGGTTACCAAGTATGATGCTATTTAAGTTATAAACACATTCCAATACTACCGTTTTTTTTTTTCATAAAGCATTGTTCTTACAAAGAAATAGGCCCTCCTGGCTCCCTGCACATAGTGCAAGGCGGCTGCTATTCAATGCTGAGATCCTCTTTATGTGTCTCTGCATGTCGGTTTTTAGGTGCAGCAGAAGATTTCTCCCCCGGAGATATGCACTTCTCAATCCACTCTTCCAGTCGACGTTGACCTTAAATGTTTTCGTTTTGTAGAAGTTTCTTAGACTTTTTCCTCAAGCGCAGTCATACTGAAATGTTTTAAGTTATTTTTATTTATATATATATATATATATATTGTTATCATAAGTTGTTACGTCTAACAAACAGATCGCTTGATTTGAAGCTATTTGCTTCAGAACAGATATTTAACATTGATGAGCTACAGAGCAATAAATACATAATGTCACTAACGAGTTCGTATCGACTGTCCTCCTCATAGAGAACCTGTGGAGCTCCTACCTCAGCAAAGGGGACGTGGTGGAGAAAGGCTCCCTTGACTCGTCTCATATCGCACATCCGGCATCCACTCAGCAGCCTTATGTGTTTGCTGACATCACCACCTCCTTCACACTGTTGGTGGGCATCTTCTTCCCCTCTGTCACAGGTACAGAGTGTTTCTGTTTTGTTTCTCTTGCCTTCTTTAAATGCTAAACCAGTCATGTAAACTTGGCTGTAGAAACATATAAGAAATGTAAACATAATGTTAACAAGAAGAACGCAGTAGATGTGATGTTGATTCTTGCTTATGGTGCAGCTGCTGCTTGTGGATCCAGAACATCATGTGTTGCTTTGACTTTTGTTCTGTCAGGGATCAACTTTTTTTTATTTCTGAACATAAGCAAGTATTCTAACATCAAGGGTCTTGTTAACCTTTTAAAAAGTTGCAGTTCTGAGCTCAGTGGTATTTATAACAACTAATAATACCACTGAGTAACACTACTAGTAGTGCTGAAATGATTTTCTTCTTTTCCTCAGGAATCATGGCTGGGTCTAACCGGTCGGGGGATCTGAAAGACGCCCAGCGCTCCATCCCCATTGGAACCATTCTCGCCATCCTCACCACCTCCTTCGTCTGTATCCTTTCATGATATATTAAGATTGAGGCACTTTTTTAATTTAATAACTACTCCAAAGCACCATCACGATATCAATCACGACATGCAACAAATCAGTTTTCCTGAGAATTTGTGTTGTATTAAAATAAAAAACAAATACTAGCCACCTGCTGCAAGTGTTCAGGCAGCATGCTGTGTTGTTGCTGTGGTGTTTTCTATTCAGTATTTTATTAATTGTTTTGCCTTTAGCTCAATTGATTTTTCAATCCATGGTACTGTTATATTTAAAAGGCACTGTGATGTGATTTAATTCGACCGCTGCGTGTTGTTTTCCTGAGTGCTGTCCATCCAGACCTGAGCAGTGTTGTTTTGTTCGGAGCCTGCATCGACGGGGTCGTCCTCAGAGACAAGTCAGTACATCTGCTCTTGAATCTGGCCCTACATACGTGTCCGGTTATGTGTGAGAGAAAGAGATTATTATGATTGTGTGTGTGCTCTATTGAAAAAGAGTAGTTGTAATATTTTTTTTCACTGCAGTAAAACGCTTTAAATACGTGTTTGTGTATTTTCCGCCCGCAGGTTTGGAGATTCTGTTAAAGGGAATCTGGTGGTGGGGACTCTGGCTTGGCCCAGTCCCTGGGTTATTGTGATTGGCTCTTTCTTCTCAACATGTGGCGCAGGCCTCCAGTCGCTGACAGGCGCTCCCCGACTTCTACAAGCCATTGCAAAGGACAACATCATCCCCTTCCTGCGGGTCAGAGATGCAAATATTCATTTTCATTACAGAGACCCAAAATTTACATAGTAATTATTAAAAACTGTCTCTTTAGCAAACAACCCACAACTAGAGCGAGACTCTGTCTGCTTTTAACTAAACATAAGACAAACATGTGACACCATTTGACATGCACATTGTTTAAAGGTCCGTGTTACCACCAGTTCTAACAAATAAGAAAGATTGTTAACAGGAGAAACTGAACATGAGAACATAATGTTTGCTCTTAACCTGAGTGTGGTCCATTTATTCAGGTAGTTTCAGAGTAACTTGTTGAGATTTGGAGATACTGTATTTCCCGAATGCTGAAGTAGGCCTGGGCGATATGACTAAAAATGTTATGACCGTAAAAGATTTCATATCATTTGATATCGATAATTATCACAATACATTTAAACGACTAATTTTTTCTCCTGAGTGAAAGTTGAAGAAACCAGAATTTTGGTTTTAAACTTTTCTTTGTGGTCAGAAAAAACACTTGATGACAAACAGTAGATCAAATCTGAGGTAGACATAAAATTAAGTAAAATAATTTTTCAGTCCGTTTTCCTCAACAAAATAAATATCTTTAAGAAAAATGAAGTGCTGATTCGTTTTATGATTTAAATGAAATATTGATATTGATAAATGAACATTTGTTATATTGTTATTGAGGAAAATTTATATTGTGAAAATTGTCAGTGGATTATCATGTCATTTTGTTTGGAAAAAGAAGTTGATATTAAATTGTTTTTAATTTATCGATTTTGCACCTGGAACCTAACGCTAGTGAAGCGTTGTATTAGAGTGAGCTACAGCCAAACTCTGAAACTATCTGAACAAACAGGAAGCACCCTGGGTAAGAGTGCGGGCGAATAAAAGGATTGGGATTCTCTTTCCCTTTGAACCGATTTACAGTATGGTTAACTTGGTGTACCTGTGTAAATACTTTCACTCATTTTCCTTTCGTGTGTGATTCTGCAGGTGTTTGGCCACGGGAAGGCTAATGGGGAGCCCACCTGGGCCATGCTGCTGACGGCGCTGATAGCCGAGCTAGGGATCCTCATTGCCTCTCTGGACCTGGTGGCTCCCATCCTTACGATGTGAGACATGGCTCTGTTTGTGTGTGTGTGTGGGGGGGGGGATCTCATTCCCAAGTGTCTCACTATTGTTAATTGTATCTGTAATTTATTTCCTTTTTTTTAGGTTTTTCCTGATGTGTTATCTGTTCGTGAACCTGGCCTGTGGCCTCCAGACCCTCCTGAGAACGCCCAACTGGAGGCCGCGCTTCTCCTATTACCACTGGTACAATACACACACGCACACATGCACACACACACGCACACACACGTATAACACACACTGATCTGTGCCTCTGGTGTGTGCAGGACCTTGTCAATTTTGGGGATGACTATCTGCCTGGCGCTCATGTTCATATCCTCTTGGTACTACGCAATCGTTGCCATGGTGATTGCCGGCATGATCTACAAGTACATTGAATACCACGGGTATGTTGCCATGGAGATATACACCCCCACAAACATGATGGTACATGTACAGCATGGTCAAGAGTGGCGTGTGTTTGGATGGAGTATCTGTGTCTGTTTCCAGCGTGAATCATCTAGGTCTTTTTTTGTGGGTGGGTGTCAGGGGAGGTCACGACATTCACAGTACGTATCACAGTATATATTGTATGTATCCGTGTGTGTATGTGTCAGAGCGGAGAAGGAGTGGGGGGATGGGATCCGCGGTCTCTCGCTCAGTGCTGCCCGTTATGCCCTCCTGAGGTTGGAGGAGGGACCGCCACACACCAAAAACTGGAGGTACAGTACTGAATCTTGCTTTTTTTCACGATCTTGTCACAAAATTCATTGAACTACAGGACCATCATACAGTTTATTAAATAATGTGTACAACCATTTCTTCAGACTGTTTGAGAACCTGCAGTTATTGATTCTTCTCGTCTTCCCACCTGCTCTTCTCCAGACCTCAGGTGTTGATCTTACTAAAACTGGACGAGGACGCCCATGTCAAGTCTCCTCGCCTGCTGACGTTTGCCAGCCAGCTGAAGGCGGGGAAGGGCCTGACCATCGTCGGCACAGTCGTCTCCGGCAACTTCCTACAAAGCTACGGCGAGGCTCTCGCTGCCGAACAGGTGGGAAGTTGCAGCTTGGCAGCGTTTCTGTGGTCACTGAGGCTCGGACGAGTTTAATCTATAGATCTACTTCCCTTCAGATGACAAAGTCCTGCTAAAATCAGATGATATGATAGATGAAGTCTTTCATACGCCTTTCCGCCTGTTTCAGACTCTTAAGCACCTGATGGATAAGGAGCGGGTGAAGGGCTTCTGTCAGTGTATCGTGGCTCAGAAGCCGCGTGAAGGCATCAGTCACATGATCCAGTCCAGCGGCCTGGGAGGAATGAAACCGAACACTGTGGTGATGGGCTGGCCTCACGCCTGGAGGCAAAGCGAGGACCCGCAGGCCTGGAAGACCTTCATCAGTGAGTCGAAGAGGATTGCAAATAATTCTGAAGTATCACATATGTCAAATGTGTTAGAAGACCAGTGCTTTTTCTTTTCCTGATCTCATGATTTCAGATTTGGTTTCAGAGTTTGCAGGCTAACAGCGCCCCCTCTCTTCCTTCCAGACACAGTGCGGGTGACCACAGCCGCCCACCTGGCCCTGCTGGTGCCCAAAAACATCTCTCTGTTCCCCAGCAACAGTGAGCCCTGCACAGATGGCTACATCGACGTCTGGTGGATCGTCCATGACGGGGGGATGCTAATGCTGCTGCCCTTCCTGTTGCGCCAACACAAAGTAAGAGTGTGTTTTCTGTCAGTTTTTAAAAATATTTTTTGAATGTCTTTCCTTCATTGAGAAAGCTGCTGCCCTCTCCTCCTCAGGTGTGGCGTAAGTGTTCGATGCGAATCTTCACAGTGGCCCAGATGGAGGATAATTCCATCCAGATGAAGAAGGATCTGGCAACCTTCCTTTATCACCTGCGCATTGAGGCTGAGGTGGAAGTAGTTGAGATGGTACGCTTCTCACCACACACTGGGGTGGTTTATCGGGACATTTTTATTAGTTTGATTTGTGTAAGAAATGACATGATGTTTTCCAGGAGAAAACCAGCAGTCCAGGAGAAAACCAGCAGTCCTACAATAATTTTTTCAGGTTTAGGAACAATTCATGATTTAATTTTATTTTTTATTTATTTTTATTTTTTTCTCCCCCTGCACAAAAACTAAAACCTGATAGAACCATCCTTTCTTTCGGCATACGTGCGGGTTGGTGATAAGGAATAATAAAAGAACTGCACTAATTGAAGGCTATCATCTTTATACATGTTAATAAGTTATACTATACAGACGTTAGTGTCGCTCGTGCGGCTGGACATCAGGCTGATATCTGCAGAGAGTTGCTAGCTAGTGTTAGCTACTCGGCAGGTGGGGACAGACTAAACTTCTCTCGTGGCTTCACCTCTTAATAACCAAGTCAAAAACTGTCGACGCTGATCAGTGTGAGTCCTTTTTCAGCCCGTTACTCTCAAAGATGTGATTGTTAGATCCAGCTTCCTCTGGCTGGTGACTGCAGTCATAATAATCCAGTCAGCTGTGGCAAATGCTAATTTTCTGTATCGATCGTAGGGAATGTAGCAGCAAGCGTCGTCTTTACTTTTTGGCTGTAAAAAGCCTTTTTGTGCACATTCGAATAAGTCCATTTTAAAGATGTATACACTTTACAAATCCTAAAACAAAAACACAAATTCTAAATACTCAAATTAATTCAATACATCACCCAGCCTTTCTTTACACTGTAAAATATCAACAACCCAAGCAACAATTCTACAATGTTTAAAGCTAGCCGAAACAAACCCTGAGACGTTCACATTAACTGTTAAACAATGATACTTTTGTAGTGCAACAGTGCTCATCTCTCGTTTTCTCTTCTTCTCTCAATATGTCTTGTTTTGTCTCCACTCAGCACAACAGTGATATCAGCGCATACACCTATGAAAGGACCCTGATGATGGAGCAGAGGTCTCAGATGCTCAGACAGATGCGACTGTCTAAGTCCGACCGGGAAAGAGAGGTAAGCCGACGTCAGGTTGCAAGATTGTTGTGCAGGTGTATTTGAAAATTATCTTTTTGTGTGCGTTTGTAGATTTGCATGTGGACAGTCAAGACTGTAAGGATTACTTAATTGTCTCCACCAGTCGTTTTTAACATCAAATCATTTTTAAATCTCTACTCGATGTTTATCATCCCTTGCGGTGGATTAAACGTTTTATAAAATGATTCGGCAACAGTGCTTGGGTCAGTATTAACATGAATATCAGTTGTGTGCAAGATTAGCCATGACATTACTCGTCTCATGTGTCTGTGATTGTCGTGCATCATTTTATCAGGGAAATCCTGGTAGCAGCAGCAGTAGGCCAGAGGCAGGTGGAGCTACAAGGTCTCAGGTGAGGTCAGTGGTAATGGCCAGCTGTGAGTTCACGAGTTTTATTATAAATTGTAGAGGATGTTGCTGAGACCGTTTACAGATAGTTGTTTAAAAAAGAAAGTTTCTGTATGTTTTTTTTTAAAAAAAAAAAGGAAAAAAAAATCCACTATCTTCATGTACAATTATTCTAATCTTACACATTGCTGTTGTCTCAGATTCAATAAAAAGTATAATATATTCAATGTCATTTAAAATCAAAGGGGAAAAAATCCATAATAGTCCTGAATTTTTCAAATAATGTATTGAGCAAATAAAGTGTGGTATCTTGTGCTGTTTAAAGAGCCTATGAATTGGTTATGAGATCATTATAAAGCCAGATGCTGGAGACAAACCTGAAAGGAGAAAGGACTTCTAAGGATTGGAGTTTCTAGGTCTTCACATAATCTAAGATCAGATTTTGTGAGAGGCACTTTTTTAGAGCAGGCATTTAGCTTATAACAATAAAATCTAGGTGCATTACACCCAGGTTGTTTCTTTTGTTAAATAAATAACCGTGGACACTCCTGTTGGACTTTATTATTAAAGTTCATGTCATCTCCTTTCAACACTGGTCCCCTCAGCGGGTACGCTGGAGTTTTGACGATGTAAGTTTACTTGTTACACACAGTAGTAACGCATCAGCTGTCTGATGTAGAGCAGTTTAGAGGTAGTGGCCCGTTCTGGACACATTGTTAAAGCAAAGAGGTTTTCTTGATCGCATGGTTCAAGATCAGTGAATACCTCTGAATCCTTCAGATAAAGACGACCGTCTGTCACCTTTCAGTGCTGCTGTTAAACATCAGTTTTCATTCAGTTCATTAAATTTATACCAATACACTAATAAGTGCATGTGTGGGTAAAATAGTGAAAAGGAACAAGTGTCTTTGACCAAAACACTGAATCCTTACTGCTACTAGGGAAAGCTTTTCTGTTGCTGACCCTGACCTTCGACCTCTCTAGTGGAAAGATGATGAATCACTACGATCAGATCTGACATGTATTACACGCACACTTAGTCTTTTAAGTAATTACTTTTCAGATCATCGTTCAGCTGACACGTTCTTAAAAGGTTTTATCTCACACAGGCTCCGCCCTCTACTGGACTCTATGGGTACTACCTCCTCCAATCGCACGCATGCACTCATCCACTGAAATTTTTATTGTGCACGTAGCCGACCAATTGGACGTCGCCACCGGATACGTGTGTGAAAATAGCAGTAATAGCAAACCTACTGCCTCAGCATCCTTTTTTCATTAGCAAACAGCAAACTGCTCACTGAATTTGGGGTCCAGCGACCGCCCCAGGGGTGGCCCACCTTTCTGTCACTAAGGTGATGTGGAGGTAAGGGCTTTGGGCGGCCTGTGGCTGACCGGGTTGGTGTGGTGGACTTTGGCTTGTCGCGGCTATGGAGAACAGTCATCGGGCTCACTGTACCCATAGGGTTTAGTAGGGGGCGGAGCCTGTGTGAGATAGAACGAAGGTTACGATATGGTAACCCTAGTTCTATTAGCACAGCCGGAGCCCTCTAACGATGAGCCCTGCCGCTCCGACACCATCTGCTGAAGAGGCGGTCGGAGGCTGAGGCAGAAGGGACACTGCTATTTATACGCACGTATCAGTACCGACGTCCTATTGGTTGGCTGTGTTCACAATAAAAATTTCAGTGGGTGAGTGCATGCGTGTGACTGGAGGAGGTAGTACCCGTCGAGCGCAGTAGAGGGCTCTGGCTGTGCTCATAGAACTAGGGTTACCGTATCGTAACCTTCGTTCTTTCATCTGAAGGATTCAGTTAAGAGTGTGTCTAATTATAAAGTTAACGCAAGTTGATCTGGGTCAAATGTGTTTGTTTTTTTTATGTTTTTTTTTAAAATTAGTAATCTGCCTTTCTCTTAATTGGCTGAAAAAGAGCGGTAAAGAAATGTGTCTGGTGTCATTTCAGCCCTCTTCTACTCTTTTCATTACTTCTGAGTTTCAAGTTGCCATTTGACTCAGGTCTTTCCAGGACATTTGGCTCTAAATGTTGCCCCTGTAGTTTTCCTCCAGTGCTTCTGTGCAGCCTGTGTTTTCCATTAGCAAGTTAGGTGACCGTGTGTTGTCTGTAGGTGTATCTTTCCTCCAGGTACAGGAGTACTGGAGCCCACACTGCAAACACCTCGACAGGAAACAGAGACAGACAGGTACAAAGAGAGAGAGAGTGAGAGAGAGAGACAAGAGAAAGGAGTTTGGGAAGGGAGAGCAGTGGTTTACACGAGGGAGGCATCGAATAAGGTAGAAGAAAGGATGAAAGGAGATGAAAAAGAACATGTTTGTGTGTCTTTGTGCCAAACTCAGGCCCAACTGGTGAAAGACCGTAACTCCATGCTGCGGCTGACGAGCATTGGATCAGACGATGACGATGACACTGATGGTGGAGAGCGAGACAGGGCGGTGAGCACGGGCGGAGGCAGCGCCGAGCATCATCGCCGAGTCCAGATGACCTGGACCAAAGAGAAGACCTCGCAGTACAGAGCCACGCACTCGGGCTGCTCCACACCCGAGGGCTTCAGAGACATGCTCAGCATCAGGCCGTGAGCGGAAATAACAAATTCACCTGGGGGAGAAATGTCTCTCTGATCGTAGTTTATTCGGCAGGTTGTTAAATGTGTCTTGTTCTCCTTCAGGGACCACTCCAACGTCAGGCGGATGCACACCGCGGTCAAGCTCAACGAGGTCATTGTCAACAAGTCCCACGACGCCCGGCTTGTCCTGCTCAACATGCCGGGACCCCCCAAGAACACGGAGGGAGACGAGAACTGTATCCTTAACACTGAAGCTTTCTCTTTTTCAGTTTATTAACCAAATGAGATACTAAAGCTGCCGGTATGCTTCATCTGAAGTGCTTGTCGGATGGTTGAAACACCTTCCCTGAACACCTGTCCAACGTTGAGTAGGAGGGCTGTGTCCCACGATTTCTGTAACTTGATGAAAACTGATGATCGTTGTTGGTCAGCTGGTGGTCAAAAATAATCGTCTCTGTTATGTGGTGATATTTTGGGTTCAGGCTCATGGATACTGAGCAGAAAGAGGTACCGTGTAAAACATGCAAAGTAAAATTTGTGTCAGCACGTTAGATCGCACAGAGAGGAGTATGATGAATGCATGAAAGTGAAAGCCGTGACTAGTAAAGAGACAACTTAAAGCCACCATTTACTTTGCAAAGCAAGTTTGCAAAAATGTCTATTTTAAAAAGATTTATTTATTTAATTTCATAAATTATTATTATTGTAGTTTTATGTTGAGTTTTTGAATTTCTTCTTATGCTCGTTTAACTTTGTGTGTTCGAGTAGAGAAATCGTGCAGCCCTATTTGTGGGTGTATTGAGTTGTCAGATTGTCCCAGTTGCCTTGTTATTCTTTCTGAAAATGTAAATTCACTAGATTTCCGTTTTTATTTCACTGTGATCGTAATACTTGCGGTGATCTATACTTGTGTTTTAGTGGTTATGTAATGTACAATAATGCACTCCATGCGTTGTTATGTTGAAGTTGTAAATGTTCTTTCAAGATGTTTTAGTGACACGTTTGTCTTGTTATTACTACAAAATTATTCTGTTTTAAGAAGGAATGTTATTCATTATAACATTGAATCATTTTGTGTTTTTATATCACGAAACATTCTTGTTATTTCTAATAATTGTACAGGGTTGTATGTGGGCAGGAGCGTATCTCGGCTCATATGTTGGGCAACGGGTGTGTCAAAGCTAACAGATACAGACAGGCAATCGCATTAAGTAACAAATATTTTTGATACACTCAGGTAGTATAAATAAAGCTGCAGAAACCTTAACTTGTCGACCAGACATGGAGTTCCTGGAGGTTCTGACAGAAGGACTAGAGCGCGTCCTGTTGGTCAGAGGTGGAGGAAGTGAAGTCATCACCATCTACTCCTGATTGGACAAACAGAGGAAGCCAGTGTTAAAGAAGCAACCAATCACGCAGAAGTGAAGCGGAGGGAGACAGTGGGGGGGCCTGTGAGCTCTGGGGGCATGGGCCCAAAAAGAGAGACCCTCATTGGCTGCAGCGTCAGTCATCACGCCCTAACGCCCACCCTTCAGCCACCTTTTCCTTTCATCCTTCTCACACTTTTCTGCCATGACAAGGGTTTCCATTCCACTTATGTCGAGCTACAGAAATGCCAACACAAATCGAGGAACGAGCAAATAACAAAGTGATCAGCTGTGTGTGTGTGTGTGTGTGTGTGTGTGTGTGTCGTCCACCTAAAGGTTCGGTTTTTTTTAGAGGGGGACCAGTGTTGTGTTCAGACAGTGGACCAGTGAATGAGAAGTATGAAACGTAGAGTGCGATTGTCTGTGAAGCGTCCCACAAACGGAGCACTTGTTCCACTGACGAGACTCAGGGTTGCTTTTTGTACAGAATGTATTTTGGAAGCAGGTGTGAGTGCTATGAGAGGAGGCTGAACTGAACGTCTGAATTAAGTGTTTATTTGTCTTTTTTTCTCTTTGACGACACAGTAACGTTTATTCCAATACTACATAAAAACTGGAAAAGTAACACTGCAACAAGGGAAGTGGGAGGTCTCTAGTTTTAAACCTGCTCAGTGGTTCATTTAAGGAAAATCTGTATTCTTTTGTGCTGTTTCCTTACTTGGAAGTGTATCACTTTTAAGAAGACGAAAGGCAAAAATGGTTAATGTTTATTGAACAATAGTTTTTAGGTTTTTTTTTTTTTTCTTACCTCAGAATTTGTTTTATCAACAGTGAAGTTCAACGTGGTGTGACACTGAATTTGTTTCTAATTCTCTGTCTGAACTTGCTGCTATTTCTCTGCTCTCCTGTATGGAGGCCAGTTTTTACCAGGAAAAGTAAAAAGATAAAGTTAGATAAATTGGCTGTGAATTTATATATATATATATATATATATATATATATATATATATATATATATATATATATATATATATATATATATATATATATATATATATATATATATATATATATATATATATATATATATATATATATATATATATATATATATATATATATATATATATATATATATATATATATATATATATAAAATTTAAATTTGCCATCTTAATATTGAGTATTACTTTGACTTCAAAGTCAGAAAAAAGTTTAGATTTCTAAAGTCAAATATTCCAGGTAAATTATGAAATAAAATGTCAACATTGTTGGACTAAGTCACAAGTATGACATTTCTAAGTGGTCATAATAAGATAATAAATCTAAATTATTTGATATAAAAAATCTGAAATGTTGGCGTAATTTAAAGTCAGAATGATGACTTTCTAGGGCAAAATGGAGATGGTACGTCAAAATAATTAGATAAAGTCAAAATTCTGTCTTACCAAGTCAGAAATCTAGTTACTCACCTCAAAAATTTTAGATTAAAAGTCAAATGTTGGGGATTTAAAGTAAATAAAAAGTCACATTTTTGAGATATCAAGTATGACTTTTTGTCTCATCATTTTGACTTGGCCACTTTGTCTTTTCATCTGTCTTAGTAAAAATGAGAGGCCACTACATGATCTAATGAAAGCAAATAATGATTTACAATTACAAAGTGACATATCTTTATAAACAGTGAAACACCAACAGTGCTCTCTGCTATGATGTGGTGCCGGCTGTGCGATGGGGAAAAGCCCTTACCTAAATCAAGAGATTCTCTTTATGCATCACATTTAAGGATTTAACCAAAATTAAACCAAGGATAAGAAAAATGATCAAAGGTTCGCTGTGTCGTGCCATGAACTGGCTCACGTTGGAATCCATGTGAGTTAGTATGTTGGATAATGGCAGCAGAGAGAGTGTTCGAAAAAGTGAGGTGAGACTTTGTGGTTGTCGTTAGCGAAGGCCTCGTAGAAGGACGAACAGTGTTGTTGAACATAAGACCACCGTGGAGAGGACCACTGCGCTGCATGCTGTCAAAATGTCACTGTCACTTGGAGAGAGGTGTGTTTGTGTGCGATGTATGAATTCCTTCTAGTATTTGCTGCGCTGTGTAGTGTGAGCTTGTGCCCTGAATCTCTCCATACACCTGAACGAAACCTGCTGACATCCTGCTTTGTGTCTCAGAGTGACTGTTTTTGTATGAAAGGGAGCTTGTTGTTTAAGTTAGGAGCTGTAAACTAAGAGGTGTTTGATTCCACTAATGCTAAGTTCATCTATATTTCTTTTGGGTTTTTTTTATTTTTTACAGTGTTATCGTGCAGGGATGCTTTTATGTTCACTGTTATTTCCTGAACATTGTTTTACTTGCTTGTACATAAAGACAAAAACAAATCCCAAGTTTTATCTTTTTTTAATTACATTAATATAAAAAGGAATCATAAAAAAACTTTGCTTTAAAAAAATGGGAATAAATAAAAGCAATTTTGAAAGAAATGTTACAAGACTTGTGATCCTTCTTTGTTTTAGCACGTAGGTCTGTCTTTTGTTTTGTTTTTTGCTGATATCAATGCTATAGTTTATCAGATGCTCAGATTTATTTGCATGTTGGTGGGAGGGGACATATATATCAAAATTTTGATACAATCATTGAAATAATTTATCTGGTAAAAATGCCAAACAGCTTATCAAATGTGGAAATTTGTCAAGTTTTTCTGTTCTATATCATTGCAAGTTGAATCTCTTGCTCTATCTATCCATCTATATAAAATCCCTCTTAAAAGAGCCAGAGCCCAGGGCAGAAACTTCAAATTATACATGTTTTGTCTGAACAACAGTCCCAAACCTTTCAGTTTAATAATGACATAAGAGGAAAACAACATAAACTATCTATGAAGCATGAACTAGTGCATTTATTTTGATATTGAACTTGTATTTAAAATGGTGCAAGGAAACAAGATTATTTTTAAAGAATAATGGCGTTTAAATGGAAAATAAACACTGACAGAAGCCTTTTATTGAACAATTCTTATCTTGAATGCTAAACTTTACATTCATAAATATAAACAGTCGCAAAGATGTTAAATTAAGTGCCTTTTATTCTGAAACTCCAACTTCCCCAAATCTTGTTGCGTGATGAGGTCACGTCCACTTGTACGTACAATCCGGAAGCCTGCCTTGTTGTGAAATTTGAGGAAATCAATTCTGGGCGAAGTTCACTTGCAAAAGTGGGATAAAAACAAAACATTAATAATCAGATTTCGGGGGTGAGCATGGAGGTAAGAGTAGCTGGTATTAGAAACTTTTAAGCATAATAAAGAAGACTCGCCTTTGTCTTCAAAGGTGATGGTCTTTGGCTGTCACAAACACAACTGTGGTGGCCTTGTTACGAAGCAGAGCACCCGGTCGGCCTGATTGGTTATCCCTTTTTATTAATCAAATCGGTTAATTTAACTTCTCCCTAATCTCTTTCAAACTTTAGAGACGGTTAATCCTACACACCTGGGTGTTTGAGTCAAATATACTGCTCCTGGTGTAAATTAAGTGTTTAAAGAGACCAACCCAGCCCTGAAACAGCTTATTTAGACGTTAAACATCTACATTTAAGTTGTAAAATTAATCTTTTTGTCGGTAAATATGTTCTTTAAACATGTAACATTAATACTTAATTAGAGGATTTCATCGGACCAAACCACTGGAAGGGATCGGAGTTAAGAAATGCCGCCAGGCGGCCGTGAAACGCTAAAATATCTGAGATTTTAGTCTTTAAAACATTTTAAATAGTCTTTTCGACGACATAATGTTGGGTTTTTAGCTGCTACACTCCATGTCAGACGCGAACATGTATTTTTAAAGCCACTGCACAAGAGTTTAAAGTAATTTTTGGTTGATTAATGTCGAGAGGAATATAATGACATGTGACTTCCTGTCACAGCTTTCAAAATAAAATCAGGAAACATCTTTATAACTATGAAACATACAATCTTTTGAGTTTTAAGCAATATGTTGCCTACTGTTCAGTTCGTCAACATAAATCCATAATCAAACTTTTTTTTAAATAGGTCACTTAAATTTAGGTATCAAAACAGTTGTGACAAAATTGTTTGACATTTTACAACAGAAAAATAAACGGGAAAACAACACTGAAAGCAAAACCCGTGGATTTTATACAGTACACACAGAAATTGAATCAGTAATAGCTGTTAACAACAACACAACTACAACTAAATTATATTAATGTGATAACAAAAATAAGGTAAATATTTACTATTAATCAACAAATAAACAAACAAATGAGTACTATAATAATTAATACTAAACTATAATAAGCATTAAACGAAATAGTGTGGTATGTGCAAGCCTGTATGATTAAAGTTAAATTTTTTTTTGGTCTGTAATGGTGGGCTAACATTAATGATACCATGTCTATGTGACCTCAAACATATTGACATTTCTATAGCGTATTGTAACTTCTTGTTACTTATCGGGTCAACGTTTGTACCAATATTTGAGATAAGGTAAAATAGTCCAATAAAGTCGACCGTACTGACCTCAGGCTGCGTGTCACTTGTAGTTCTGTAATTTGATTGCATATTTTTAGCTAATTTGCACTGCTAAAGTAACATAGTCCTAAATTTCTTTTTTAATCAAATTAACTGACACACAGAAAACATGCCGTCATTTAGTGTTATTCCAGTAAAGATATTCCTGGTCTCTGGGCAAATATGATTATTTCCAGGGTGGAGAAGGGAAAAAATAAGCGAGGCAAAACTCCAACACTTTGTATAAAGACCAGCTTAATTGTGACACCAACCTCTGTCGACATCTTAAAACACATTTAGCTCTCCCTACATGACAGAAAATTTGCTGTTTAGCGTAATAAAATATATTGGTATTGTTAAAGGTGATAGCTAGTGTTACTTAGATTACATCAAAACATTTTTGGTATCGCCCACTCCCATTAGGAGGTGTGTATGTGTGTCACAGGTTTATCCAGGCATGGTTGTGACACCTGTTTTGTCAACGTAATAATATAATATAATAGTCTTTACAAGAATCAATAATACAAGTTATAAAATAGTTAAAACATAAAGGCAGGTAAAACAAAAACAAAACATGAAATAAAAGTAATTTCCAAATTGTACTTTTATTACATGTAAAATCATGGAAGGCTCTTTGATAGAAATATGTTTTTACAAGGGATTTAAAAGACCGGACCTGATTTCCTCGCGTAGATTTTTCCAGAGCCTCTGTGTCCTGGCTGGAAACGTTCTGACCCCTCTCAATTTCAGCTGTAAAATTCCATACATTTTGCGAGACACTACAGGTGAATAGGGTAAAATAATGTACCTAACAGATATCAACATCAAACATCCCCGTGTTAATATCTTACATTAAGACAATTACTTTTTTAGTATTGCAGGTTTTCGGAAATTCTATGTTTAAATATGCAAATGAGGTCATATCTAATGAGATGTGCTAATTTGTATCTATTTCAAGGACTGAAATTTGAACACTGGATTATGTCAGAATCAAAATTATTGTTTTATTTTGTTGATAGAATGTTTTTACTGAGTGAATTTGGGATTTCTCTTTTTATTACTCCATAAATCAGAAAATACTGTTGATATCTTACAATACATTTTTTTTTTATACAACTACAATACAGTTGTCTTACACGACAATTATTTTTTGTATTAAAAGTTTTCTGAAATGTTATGTTTAAATATGCAAATGAGGCCGTATCTAATGCTAACTGTTGGTGAAATTTGTTGACAAACTGTAGTAAAATAAACACTTAATTGTGTATTTATTGGGCGTTTTCTTTCCACTAGTCTGAAAGAAGACATGTTGAGGAAGCAAATGATCCCAAGTTAGCTTATCATCTTTTATTTTGAAACTCTTATCACTCAACATCCGGCCTCGTCCTCGTTTAACGGCCCTGGCTTCCCCATCTAATGATCCGTGGCTCGGGATCCATTGAGCAGCCTGGCCCGGGCCAACACGAAGCGAAAACGGGGATCCGGGTCTGCCTTCCTTCCCTGTCAGACACCTTGAAACGATCATTGTCGTCTCCCAGACCACCAAATCAGCATTAACAGTTCGTTAAACGTGTATCGATGTATCTGCTAGCTGCGGCCATTGATTGAATGAGACGTTCGAGGACCGACAGACAATCGGGCGCCAGGCTGGTCGTGAAGTGAGGGGTGACTGCAGCCTTGCGTCAAAGCCAGCTAGCTAAACCGTGTTGGTAGGACAAGTCATCAGTAAAGACCGGTAGCCGCCACGTTAACTTACCTCGGTGGCTAGCCAGACGGTAGCAGGCGGGTTATTTTCGGCACCGTAACGTTACACATGCTTCGTTTTAGTCGCGTTGTGTAGCCGAACATCTGTGCAAAAGGCTGTCAGCTGTTTCATAAGACATAACGTTACAGCTAATCTTGACTCTGTGTTTTCTGGGGGATTAGAATCTAACCAGAAACCAATTTAACCCACACGTTTTCAAGCATAGGTTAAATACTGGGACATTTCTTGTAATTGTGTAAGATCTTGTTGATTTTGAAGAGGGGCCTCATAGCTGGCATATATGAGGCCCAGTTGAAAAGATGGACCTGAATTTTTATTCGGATTTAACGGACGGCACCGGGCAGCACGACGGTGATCCGGAGTTCTTGGATCCGCAGTCTTTCAATGGCTTTGACACTGACAACAAGGTGACTCCAGCTTATGAATGGGACAACCGCCTCTCAACCACACACGGGCACTCTGCTACTTATTTGCATATGCTTTATGTATTAAAACTCAGTAAAAGCTGCCATTGAATGCATCTCACAGTGTAGAAATGCCCTGTTTCTTTAATGGCAATAGAAGATGAAGTCTACTTTTGGAGAGCATGGGGGAAATACTAGACAAACCCCTTTATCAGTAATCTTTTGTCCTAACTTGTGCACCTTTTGTGTTTCAGTTCCCTGGAGGCAGTGACAACTACCTGACTATTCCTGGGTCTGGTCACCCCTTCCTCTCTTCAGAGGTAATCCTTCACATTTTGAATAAACCATTGGATTTCTCTCTGGCAGGTTTTTGTTTGTTGTTGTGGAGCCCCCCCTCCGGACTTGTCCTGTGTTTTTGGTTTACAATCATGCAAAATCACAGCATGACCGTAATATTGTCACAGAGCTAATAACGCTTTCATGTCATGTCAAAATTACGTGTTCCCGACTTTTAACTGGCATTTTAAGACTTTGGCGCTGAAAGCCAAACAAACATGGGTCCCTTTGCATCAGCCAGAGTGCATCGCTCAATTCAAATAAACCCAAATTGATGAATGGATTATATTGTCAACACACATACTAATTAAATCCTCACATGACCAACCCAAATCATAAAACTGTTTTGATGCACAAATGTGGTACAAGCATTTGTTTTTCTGAAAGAGAAATCCCAGAAGGTCGTTCAGAAACACTATCTCTGAAGATGTTCCCAGAATCCTTCCAACCACCTGGACACGAGACGTAAAACATCTGCTGCATGATTGAAATATTTTTAACCAGTTTACTAAAGTTGCAACTTCTGCATTTTCACTCTGCCTGAAACAAAGACCACATACCCACACCTTAAACCTTAATTTCACACAGCAAAGATCTTCCTGTCAGTAAATGTCGCTATTCTGTAAGATCTGGTTCCCAACCTTTTTTGATTGAGGCACCTTAGTAAAACAAAGCAATATCTACTTGTGAATGGTTAAACCAAAGAGTGATTCTTATTGTCAAGGTTGATTTTATTTGAATCATTTATAGAGGCCCGAAGAAGTAAAATTGCCCAGTAATTCACAGAAGGTGGCAAAAAAGCCAGAATTAGACCAAAAGTCTTCTGTTTGTCATCTGTTCACTCCTTTTGGAGGGTCCTGAGCCTCAGGTTGGGAACCACCGGTTTTAAGTCTTAATGTAGTAACTAATAAACGGTTCACGGGATGAAATGAGCCAGGATTTATGTGGCTTGGCTCATCACTTCAGATAAACAATTTCCTGTAGGAAAATCGTAGCCTGCTCAATTTATACTATAATTAGAACCACTATTTTAAAATTTCACTGTTAAATTTGTCAATATTAATGTTACATTGTAACTAACGTTTTCTAAAGCACCAGATGACATCCGCAAATGTTTTTTTATTTATATATATATATATATATATATATATATATAATTTTTTTTTTTTTTTCAGTTTACTGTCATAGAGGCATAAAGAAACTAGAAAATATTGACATTTAAGAAGCTCGAGTCATGGAATTTACTCAAACCGATTAATTGATTACCAAAATAGTTCAATTAATAGTCGATACATCGTTGCAACTCTAATATAGTACAACATTCAGTCTTTTTCCTGTGTTGAACAAATCATGCAAGGAGATTTTGTCATTTCTGGCTAATCGCCAGTCAGAGTTTTTGATGATTCTGGAAACACCTTCAGAAACAGTGGTAAGTGTTGTTAAACGAGCCTCTGAGTCACCGGGAGTTTTATCTTTCAGAGAAATGGAAGCTCAGCTCTGGGACTTGAATGTAAAAGTGATACATTACAGGCACAAACTGGGGCCAATCAGAGTCACGCACCGCCGTTTTTAAATCCACATTTAACCACGCTACAACCATGCCGAATGTCTAAATTACCACCTAAACTGTTGGAAATATTGGCAAATGTGTTTTTTTAAGCATTTGAACCATGTTAATATCTGATTTTTTTTTTTTTCTCCCAGCTTTCATAAATTTGATGTGAGTCACACTAAATAAGAGCTTTGTACTGTATAGATCCTTTCATGTCAGAACATATAAAGACAGTTTTACAGCCACAGATTGACCCATGTAATCTACTTCAGCGTGCACTTACTGACGTACTCGCATTTTTTAGTGTGCCACTAAACCCATTGACCTCTTCAACCTCGCTGGATCTGCTGGTGGAGTATGACTTATTTATAAATACTTTATAATTCACACCGCTCCCGCAGACACCTGCAGCTGCAGACATGTAACGTATATATGAAGGCGTTAAGTTTGAGCCCGACAGATGGCACGATTTACAGGTTGTTTTTTTTAATACACCTTTCAGCGCTGTTTAATCAGAATGAAAAGAGGGACAACCGGCTGCATTCTCTATATGGTTTGAAAGCATTTTACAGGCATGGCGTTATCATAATCATCACAAACAGTGTCACATCACCTATCCAAACTCTTAACGTCTAAACACAACTACTTCATGCCCAGTGATGGAAGAAGTACTCTAGATATTTGACTTTTAAGTTCGAGTGCTGTGGTACTTTTACATATAAATGAACATCTGATATATTGAAGTCCACGCCAGACGAGCTGATTTAGTGAATCACTGCCGGGTAAATCTCTGAGCGCTTGTAGCACTAGAGTTTGAGGACACAATTATAAATCTCGCGTGACAGCTCATCTTTTGATACAGACGGCCATTATGGAAGCAAACTGCCACTCGCGTCCTTGGTCTCTCCTCGAGCAGAGATGCAGAAGGATTGCTTGCGGTTTAATCCTCCTCTCCTGCCTGGCGGTGACGATATAATGTTCCCACAACAAGGACGTTTATTTGGCGAAGTTGAATGAGCTTCGACTAGGCGATAGGTAGATAGTTGGTGCTGCAGGTAGTTATGCCATAATAATAATAATATAGTGTCAACGACATGCATCTGTTCATCCCTCCATTCATTCATTCATTCATTCATTCATTCTTGTTACCCGCGGTAAGTGGATAATAATAAGGTCTATGTAACAGTATGGACACAGTTAATATGCAGCTTTAATTCATTGTGCTGTTGGTTTGGTCAATTATCTGTTTGTTAGAAGTCCTGGTTTAAAAACCTTACTCATCTATAAACCTGTCTCTATTGCTCTTTATTACGTGTCATGTTAATTATAGCCCAGCTGGTAAATCACTGTGCAGATATTATTGGCTGACATGAGCTAATTGCAGATAAATCGGTATAAGTGTTTATAACGACTGACAAATGACAATTAAAAAAGAAACAGAGAGACGGATCCTTCAGTCATGTTATGAGTGTTGTTGTTGAAGTTAACCTGCTAACCTGAGAACCTTAGCAGTGCAGCGTGGGTTACCGTGATGAATGTGAGCCAGCTTTGCGATACCAGAAAACAGGAATTAAGGCTGAAGATTGCTCGCTAACACGCCAATCTTGCTTTGTGACGCAGGCCACTGAACACTGAAAGCACACCTGACTCTATCCCACAGAGTATTCTTGAGATGTTTAAGTATTTAGAAAATTAATCTTAAAGTCTTTTACACCAACAGTAATCTTCTCCCCACTTACCTTCCTTTCCATATTGTTTGTTTACAACTCTCCACCCCAACTTCTCACAAACTTGTTTCCTCTTGTCCTCTTTCTACTTTTCTTCTTCTCCCGTTCTCGCTTTCCCTCCTCGTCTGGCTTCACCGGCCCTCCAGACGTTCCACACTCCCAGCCTCGGCGATGAGGAGTTCGAGATACCTCCCATCTCTTTGGACCCAGACTCGGCCCTCACAGTGTCCGATGTGGTGTCCCATTTCGGGGGAGCTGTCGGACACCGGCCCCTCCGACAGCGTGGTTGTGCCCGGCAACGCTGTGGTGGAAGGGGACGACCCCTCGTTCGCCTCGACTTTCGTCAACGCCCCCTCGCAGGGATTGGAGCACCTGAGTCTGGGAGTCATCAACCAGTCAGGAGGAAGTGCTTTGCTGGGGTCGTCACTGGGAATGGTGAGGCGTGCAGGAAACTCTAACTGTGCAAAATCATCTCCGTGTCAAACACCAGTTTTATTCGCTCTCATTTTCTGCTCCCGTCTTCGCAGGATCTCGGACATCCCATCGGCTCTCAGTTCAGCAGCTCGTCCCCGGTGACCATCGACGTCCCGCTGGGTGACATGAGCCAGGGCTTGCTGGGGTCCAACCAGCTTACCACTATCGACCAGTCAGAGCTCAGCGCTCAACTGGGGCTCGGCTTGGGAGGCGGAAGCATACTGCAACACGCCCAGTCGCCTGAACACCCTCTGTCAGCCACGGCGTCGCCAACCAGCTCGCTCCAGGATGACGACATGGACGACTTTAGACGGGTGAGTCTTAAAGTCCCACAAACCATTTTTCATAATCAGTTTCTTGGTTGTACATGAACTAACTATTGAACTATACAGGTGGTTCCACGTGAAATAATAGTTGACACCGCCCACATCAACTACACCGTCCTGACCAAGCAGATTGCTTGATGTCGTTATTGAGAAATAAAGAAGACCTATTACGCTTTTTTCCTTATTTTCTGTCTTATCTATGATGTTACAGACAGCTACAAGCCCACTTCCTGTCGTCTACTGAGCATGATTGTGCAGCATAACTGTGGTTTAATGACGCAGAGCAACGGCAAAAACACTGTAGATGCTGCAGACAGGAGCATCTACAGCTTGTTTCAACATGAAGGGCCAGTATAAGATAGAAAATAATTTTTTGAACTTTGAATCGTCCAAAGCTGCCATACAGGAGTCACAGAACTACAATATAGGACTGGAAATGCAGTATAATGGGTCCTCCTTTTAAACTGTAATTTTTGTCTAACTTTTTGTTTGATGAATGCTTAATGAGTAACAAATATTTATTGTTGTAGATTTGAAACATGGTTTTGAAGTGCTTTCAGTCTCCTGCATACAGGAAACATACAAAAATGTCAGTTTAGGGTTGGCTCAGTTTCCAGTTTACCAGCTTAAACCGGTTTGAATTTATGCAAACTGACTGAACCAGCATTTGTGATTATGGGTTGTTCTGGCAAATTAAAAAGTAGCCTATATCAGCAACCTTTTGCAGACTCCGCTAAATCCAGCTTGTGTTGCATTAGTAATAAGCTATATGACACAAAAAATCTAAATCATCAAAGTTAGCCATGGTTTTCACTGGTCAGTGGCGAAAATGCCGGCTGAAACAACCTCAAATCTATCAGAAAGATTCAGTCTGGTAAATAGGTTTCTGCTATATACTGAACTGAATTTAAAATACTTATCTTTTTCTGTCATGTTACTTATTGCGTAGGAAGAATAGAAATGAAAAAGAACAGTATTTGGAAATACTGTTTATTTTTTTATTCTGACACATATCTTCCCCTCTGATCAGAGCGTCCTGGTTGAATCTCCCGTCTCGCTCGCCGTCTCTCCCGGAGTCATCTCCCTCGGTCCCTCTCTGTCCGACTCCCCGCTCTCTGCCCCCGCCTCCAGCCTCTCTTTAGCTGTTGGAAGGAAAGGGGGCGTGGGAGGAGGGAAGAAGGGGAAGAAGAAGAAAGACCCCAACGAGCCCCAGAAACCTGTGTCCGCCTACGCTTTGTTCTTCAGGGACACACAGGCAGCTATTAAGGGCCAAAATCCCAACGCCACGTTTGGAGAAGTTTCCAAGATCGTGGCCTCCATGTGGGACAGCCTGGGGGAAGAGCAGAAACAGGTAAGACAGCAACGGTGGAAACTCTTATCAGGAATTCCTGCAGTCATAGAAAACCTGGAATTAGTCTCTCTGACATGGAGTAGTTGTAGAAAAACATTTGGATCTGGCTAAGATGTGAAATACATATTTGTAGTTGATACAGTTTTAGTTAATTAACTGGTCATACGCTTACTGTGAGTCAGGCAGAGTGAGTTCAGCTTAAAAGAAATACGACATAATAGCAGAAATTTTTTTTTCAAGAAAAAACAAACAAGAACAACTAACATAGTTAAAAAATATTTTGGGCCATCTAAAAGTATCAAAACACAATCCTAACGTCACAGCATAATTTACCCCTGTTTTTTCAGGTTTACAAGAGGAAAAACGAAGCAGCGAAGAAAGACTACTTGAAGGCGCTGGCCGAGTACAGAGCCGGCCAGCTTTCTCAGGTGAGTGCCTCTAACTGACGTTTGTAAAACTCTACAGCTGCTACGAGACAGGATGTCGCTGCATGACAGATAACGTCTCTGTGGAAGTGGTCAGTTGCACGTTAAGATTTGCAGTTAACTCGTAGGGCTGAGCAATATGGCACAGCATTTTATTGTGATCATTTCGTTATCAGTCATTGTTTGTGTTTAGCCGGCTGCAGTGGTGCACACACTTTGTGTCAGGATACAAGAACATGCATACAGTTGTCTTGGAGACGACCTGGTTTTGGGAAATGCACTGTTGAAAATGGCTTTGTTATTTGGATGTGATTAGTTTTTAGTAGATTGTCTAGCAATCTTCAAACATAGTTTCTCATTTTCTTATTGAGGAAATGCTTTTATCTCGATCACTTATATCGCCCAGCCCAATTTTCTGTTTTTAAATAAGTAAAATGTTGGTTATAAACCACAGAAACCAGTAACACTTACTTTTAACGTCCTCATCGATCACAACATATATAATAAGCGTGTAATTGCCTTCTACGCTGTAGCAGATGAGCCATTCCAACTTCTTTATTGTGTCCATCGTCTCTTCAGGCTCCTATTGAAGTCATGGACACCGCCCCATCACCACCATCTCCAGCCCCGCCCCCCGCTGTTACAGCCACACCTGCCGCCACCCTAGCCGCTCGCGCCACCAGGTCACAGCATTACAACCCCGAGGAGAACACCATCACCAACATCTGCACCTCCAACATCATCGTGGACCTGCCTCAGGTCACCACACGCTCCCGCACCGGCGCCATTAAACCCCAACCTCCGCCTGTCACCGCCCCGCCGAACCCCCCCACTGTCACCAAGATCATCATCAAGCAGACGCAGCTGCCCTCTGGCGCCGTGTCTGTCACGGCGACGCCGGCCTCCTCGCCGCGCCAGCCACCGCCGCTGCAGCAGATGCAGAGCACCCCTCCTCCGCCTCGGCTGCAGCAGATGGTGCACGCCCAGGCCCCTCCACCTCTGCAGGCCAAACCACGAGGTGCTGCCACAGCTCCGCCTCCGCTGCAGATCAAGGTCGTCCCATCGTCGCGGCAATCGGACTCAAGCACGCCCATCATTGTGACGTCAGCCGGTGAAACGTGCATGTCGATGTCCGCCGGTCTGGCGGTGGAGATGGAACAGTCGGGTGATGTAGTGACGGGAGGAGAGGAAGTGGCAGAGGAAGGGGTAAGCCCATCAGCGCTCAGTGACCTGTTGATGCCTGAATGTTAGCAACACATGAAACGCAGCTTCAGCAACAGTTTCCATTTATCGTATGTAGCTCTGAAGCGGACTGAGAATAACCTTAAACTTCTGCATCTGTCTTTTGTCTCTCAGATGGAGGTTGAGGTGAATGTTGCCCCCATCCCGAGTGTGACTCCCACTGCCAGCCGAAACATTTGTGTGCGCGCCGGCTGCAGCAACCCCGCTGTGGAGAGCAAAGACTGGGACAAGGAGTACTGCAGCAACGAGTGCGTCGCCACACACTGCAGGTGTGTGCAAAAACAGCAACATGGTCACCAAATCTGGGTCCTACTGGTTTGTTTATCCAAGTTGTTAACGTTGGGATGTTGTACCCAAAGATCAGCATTTCTGCTTAAAAAAAAACACTGAAACGATTAATCAAAATAGTTGATAAATTAACTAAATGTTTCAGCTCTAATTACAACCTGAGCGTGCACAATTTGTGTGGTATTATGGGGCAGCATTAGCTCAGGACTTTGCTTGGGAACCGAAGGATTGCCGGTTTGGCTCAGGCACTGCCAAAGGTGCCCCTTAAACCCTAACTGCTCCCTGGGCGCTGCTCATGGCTGCCCACTGCTGCCCACTGCTCCAAATTAGGGTGGATTAAATGCAGAGAACATATTAAGTATGCATGGTACTGTTTGTAAAATGGTATGTGGACAAATAAAGTGATTTTGATTTTGTCATCACAGCATTAATACGCATATTAACATGCACAGTAGTGTCCTATTTATTATTGGATATGTGTATCCTGGTAGATAAATACACAAAGTACTCAGATTGAACTCAATATAGGTCCAAAAAACTGTTTTTTACAAAAAGCAAGTGGTATAAATACATAACAATATTAAAATGCAAATTGAGTCATCAGTTTAAATAAAACGACAAAATAAGCCTGAAAGCTACAAAGGCAGAATAAACCCTTTTCCGCATAACGTCCACTGGAGAGGACAGATGTATTTTCAGTCACAGAACAAAATGCACAAGAAATATATAATTAAAAACTGGCTTAAAGTCTTTCTAACATCCTCTTTAGTTTTTTTACTGGTTGTATGAAAATAAAAGTATTTCATAGTTACTGCTGAGTTATTTGGTGCATCAACACTTCCACCTCCCCAATTTTCAATTATTGATGCAACATATCAAAATGACAGATGTAAAAGACAACGATCAAATTGAAGTGTAGACGACGCTTTGGGGTTCCGCCACGTGGTGGTTGGGACAACGTAGTGTAACTACGCTACTATAGCTCAAAATAGTTTCCACATATCTGTCCACTGTAGTGGACGTGGATGGATGAAATCACACATACACTGAGCTGAGTAAGAAATTCAGTTTCTCTACATTCCT